CCATTTCTTTAAACATCTTTAATCTTAATCTTTAATCTTAGTCTGTCATTAACTTTAACCTGTACAGCTGGAAACCACTTATTTTCAATCCAACATCGCTCTAACATTCTTTAATTTTGCAATGTTTCTGAAGATAGTCTTTGAATTTCTTCCAATCTTCCTCCATCGACTCTTCTCCCTGGTCACGGATTCTACCAGTCATTTCCGCCAATTCCATATAGTCCATAAGTTTCATCTGCCATTCCTCCAGCGTGGGAAGTTCTTGTGTCTTCCAATACTTTGCGATTAGTATTCTTGCTGCTGTTGTTGCATACATAAAGAAAGTTCTATCCTTTTTTAAATACAATTGTCCGACTATGCCCAGGAGAAAGGCCTCTGGTTTCTTAGGGAAGGTATACTTAAATACCTTTTTTAATTCATTATATATCATTTCCCAGAAAACCTTAATCTTTGGGCACGTCCACCATAGGTGAAAAAATTTACCTTCAGTTTCTTTACATTTCCAACATTTGTTATCGGGCAAATGATAGATTTTTGCAAGCTTGACTGGGGTTATGTACCACCTGTATATCATTTTCATAATATTCTCTCTTAAGGCATTACATGCCGTAAATTTCATACCTGTGGTCCATAACTGTTCCCAGTCAGCAAACATAATATTATGTCCAATGTCCTGTGCCCATTTAATCATAACAGATTTCACCGTTTCATCCTGAGTATTCCATTTCAGCAGCAAGTTATACATTCTTGACAAATTCTTAGTTTTGGGTTCTAACAATTCTGTTTCCAATTTGGATCTTTCCACCTGGAAGCCAATTTTCCTGTCCAATTTAAATGCCTCCATTATCTGATAATAATGAAGCCAGTCTCGCACTTTGTCTTTTAGTTTTTCAAAACTCTGCAATTTCAATCTATCTCCGTCTTGTTCCAAAATTTCCCAATATTTCGGCCATTTGACCTCCATATTGACCTTTTTCAAGGCTTTCGCTTCCATTGGTGACAGCCTCACCAAGCCATTAATAAAGGATTATCAGGTTCTGGGCAACACACCTAAATTTAAAATGGATATTGTGTTAGTAATTTCTCAATCAGGAGAGAAGCCTCCTTTGGAGGGGTAGAACCAGTATGAGCATCAGCTGCTCGCTTCTCTGTATCCTGTGTCATCTTTCCATAGGGGAAAAGTATTATTTGAGGGCATAATTTCTGCTTAAAAGCAGCAGACAACATGGTAACATCATGGCAGGGAATTACTCTCTGTTCAGTTCTGTCAAACAGAAAAAGAAATTAACAATCATTTAAATGTTTTCAGTTTCTGAAAGGTAGTGGGGATAATGAAACCTTTGTTGTCCCCGTCCCCCGCCAGTGAACTCAAGATCTTGAGATGAATCAGGCAGCCTCCCAAGTTATTCAGCCAAGGTGAGTTTCCCCCCAGGGTTGAATCAGGATTGATGCTGAAACTTGTGGTCAATGCACACCCGTTAGTTACGGCATTGCATCAGAAAAAAATGCAAGCGTCATAGTAGTCTGTGTTGTTGGGTATTAATGTTTGTGCTCCAGCCTTTATCTCTTTCCTTAGGTTCGCTTAGCAGTGATCTGAAGTATTGTTTTGGGAGAACTCGAAAGCTTGCTCTTTAAACATCCGCCCTACTGAAAAACAAAACCCTCCCTAATTTTAAGATTCATTCTGAATCTACTTTTAGTTCTTTTTGCCAAAAAGCTTCTCTCCAGCTACACCCAGTGGCTGCAAAAGAAAGAGTTTCTCTTCCACATAAAGTCTCTTACACATCAGCTTGGGACATGTCCACACAATGCATGCACCTCTCCTAGTCTACATGACTTTTTAAAGATTTCGGAGCAATCTGCTTTATGGATCTTTCTTTTTTTCTTTTTTAAAAAAGGCTTTTGATTTTGCATTGCAAACCACCATGGGTATTTATTCTAATAAATAAGCACAGGATATTCCCAAAAATTGGAAGAAAGACAAGACACAGAAATCTGGAGAAAGCTGGCAAAGATGTCTGCAGATGACCGCAGAGCCTGGAGACAGGACAATCAAGTTGTGCATCCACAGCAATGGCCAGAGGAGAAATGACCGCTGGGAGATGCGCAGGGAGACCATGGTGCATCTACAGCAGCAGAACCAGACACCTTACCTGCCCCAGCTGTAACAAAACATGTCTCTCTCGTATGGGTCTCTACAGCCACAGCAGGCGCTGTAACCTCGCAACAGTTTAACTTCATCCCCAAAGGCACACTCCTCTATTTGTCTCCTGAGACAGATGCCAACCAACTGATGGCTTGCTCACAGATGCCTCATGTTCAGGAACGGCATGCCACAAGAAATCGCCTATAATTATCCTGACTAGCCAAGGAAACCAGAAAGCCAGTCTCCACTTTTTATTTGTGTTACTGTCACCTACTTTCAGCTCAGTTCATAAGTTTATTGTTCTACCCAACGGCCATGACAGGCTTGTAGCAATAATATTAATAAAATAATACTGAACATCCTTAATATAAACTGACACCCATGATAAGAGAGAAGAGATACCAGAGATGCCAGTCTAGCTTAATTTCAGAGTAATTAAAGTGATTTTATTCCACTCCCTTTTCTTTACCTCCTTTTTAAAAAATTGCAGCCAGGGCATATAGGGCCACTTTGTGTGTTATGAAGCTATTACTCAAATGAAACTGAACCATTTCTGCTGGGATGCACCTGCTTTCTTGAGAGAACAATGGTTTCAGAAAGCAATCTCTTGGGTCTCTACATAAGGAGCAGGTTAACAGATAATGAGTGATGTTTTCCATCTTAGGTTGACCAAAAATACAAAGTCTGCGTATTGTTATAGCAGTGGGCATCTCTGCAGCCCTCTGAGGACATTTCTTAAGGAAACTGGGGTAGGTTTGATCAGGTAACTAGCTCTAAAACGCTGTTTTCAGGAGGTTCCAAGGTGGAAAGGACGCAGGTGGGGCTGTGATCTAAACCACAGAGCCTCTTGGACTTGCTGATCGGAAGGTCGGCAGTTCAAATCCCGGCGATGGGGCGAGCTCTCGTTGCTCTGTCCCAGCTCCTGCCAACCTGGCAGTTTGAAAGCTTATCAGTGCAAGTAGATAAATAGATACCGCTGCGGTGGAAAGGTAAACGGCGTTTCCGTGCGCTCTGGCTTCTGTCACAGTGTCCCGTTGCACCAGAAGCGGCTTAGACATGCTGGCCACATGACCTGGAAAGCCGTCTGTGGACAAACGCCAGCTCCCTCGGCCTTAAAGCAAGATGAGTGCTGCAACCCCATGGACACCTTTGACTGGACTTAACTGTTCAGGGGTCCTTTACCTTTTTACCTTTACCAACCAAAGGGGGAAATTGGTGGTCATCTCCTACTTCCTGTGGTGTCAAACCACCAGCTACCTTACATGGCAAACCTGTGTAACCAGAGTCCGAACGCACATGAAGGACGCAGTTCCTGCAGCAACTCCTTTGTTCCGATGTGCAGTGTAAAAAGTCTTATGCCCAACAGCAAGCGATGGAAAACTACCTTTCGAACAATATTGAGTGATCCTTGTTCCTTACAAGTCTGAGATTTCTTTTTAAGACTTCCCTAGGCTAGCTAGAGTTTTGAGCTGCTTTACTGCTCACCTTTTATTTTACTGTTGACTTCATTTACCTTCAATGAAGATTAAAGCCTTGGAACAATCTAACTGGTTTCACACACAAAAAAACCCTCTTGCTTGACTTTATAAATGGAGCAAAAATCTGACAACTTGCTCTCAAGCCCATTTGCAGGAACCGGCAAGGCTTCCTTCCAGATGCAGGCGTAAGACAAAGACAGCCAATGAACCACAGGGTATGCTTTCAAAAATATTTAATAGGTTATTCAAGAACTCTGCATTTGCTGCTCTCGACAAAGCCTCAGTGCAAGAACCCATTACCTTGGCAGCAGCATGTCTTCCTCCCAAGCACTTCTTTGCTGGTTCTTTTTTAAAAATACTGTCTTGTTATCAGTCCCTCAAGCCAGTTGGAGCAATCCAAAGCTAGCTCAGGAGCTGAACATTTTTGTTCTCCTTTCCCACTGTACACCCTTTTGGCTAAAATGCCCTTTTCAAGGACGATACAGCGGTCTGAGGTGCTTGTGCACAGGGGATAAGGCTCACTGGAAGCAGAAGCCGGCAGGGCAAGTGGACATGGAATCAGCCCTCGGCTGACATGGAAGAAGCTCAGGCATTCAACATTCAGCAGAATGACAGCCCCTGTGCACCTACCTCATAGCAGGAAGGACTGGAAGGTGTGATGTTCTAATGAAGGTATATAAAGATGCCCATATGCTTTGGAGGTTATGGGCTTCCCTATGCAAATGGGTTTCTGCCGGCCCTGCATGCAAACCCTCCTGCTGAACACCCCAGGTCCTGAGGCTCATGTTGCAATTTTATCCCAGCCAGTAATATGGGCAGATCAGGGCTGTGCCTGCCACTGCATTTAGAAATGAGCAAATGCAAGCAAGCCTTTGAAACCCTTTCCGGAGCGTTTTGCCCGAGTCCACCTGCCAGAGCCCTGGTCTTCTCAGCTGCTCTCCCCACATGACAGAGAAGCAGCCGGTCACGAGCATGACGCAACACACAGCCCATCCTGAACCCAGAAAAGGTCCTTCTGGCTGCGTGCCCTGTAATTTCTGGAAAGCTTTCCTCCTCCTTGCCTCGCCTACCTCCATCTCTCCGAACATGCTCCTTGTTCCAGCTGGGGGTGGCCAGATATGGTACAGCGCTAACAAGCCGAGGATGGAAGGGCTGCAGCTTTTAATGGTTCCCGTGGAATAGTGATCTCTCTCTCGCCTGGTGTCCTCCCCTCCACACCTCTCTCTGTTCTAGGATCCCAACCTCACTATCCTCCCATTAGCCGATCTTGCCTCCCTTTCTCTACGCCCAGTGCCCCCTTCCCTTCCTCCTCCTCCTCACAGGGACGGCTGTGTGAGCCCAGAGCACACCTCAGAAGGTGGGTCAAAGTCTCCGCTTCATTTCTGCTCAGGCTCGTCCCCCACTGTGGTTACCTCGATGGTTGTATGGTCTTCATTGGCTGTGGTGCCCTCAACAATGCTAGATGGCACAGTCATGATGGTGCTCCCGCTGGGAGACATTTGCGTAACGTTCTGAATGGCCGTGCCCAGTCCTGGCAGGGTGAGCAGCTGGAAGGGGCTCACCACTTTCAACACGGTGCTGCCATCCTGTATGGCCGCGGTGCTCAGGACTGTGAGGTTGGAAGCATCCGGGTGTATTTCAACGGCGTTGGGAAAAGTCGAGCCCGCAGAGGCCAGGACAGTGTATCCGCCCAGCAGTGGAGAAGCCGGGGAGCCAGCAGAGGTCACCTGCGCCGTGGTCTTCCCAAGAGCAGATGCTGGGAGGGTGGAGACCACTTTGCCTATGGGCAGGTTCGCCAGTTGCGTGACCGGCATCCCTGGCGCAAGGGCGATCTGCGCCGACTGAGTCAGGAGCTGGGAGGTGATGGCGGGAGGCCCTGAGATGGCTCGGGTCAGTCTGGGGCGTTTCAGAGGGGACGGGATGGAGACTGGCGTCAGGGTCATCAGCACGTTGTTGAGGTGCTGCGATTTGTGCTTCAGCTCCTTCGCTCTCTTCCGGTGCTCATCGCACTGCTGCTCCAGAGCTGGAGGAAGAGAGAAAGAAAGAAAGAAAGGGCAGCGGATAAGCAAGGGCACCCACCAAGTCCAAACAGCCAGGAACAGAGGCTGGCCTCCTCTTCTTAAATGACACGGCAACTCTTCTTAAATGACACAGCAACTGTGGTATGGCATGGCAAGGATTGCTTTAAAACACAGTGGTACCTCGGGTTACAGACGCTTCAGGTTACAGACTCCTCTAACCCAGAAATAGTACCTTGGGTTAAGAACTTTGCTTCAGGATGAGAACAGAAATCACGCGGCGGTAGCAGGAGGCCCCATTAGCTGAAGTGGTGATTCAGGTTAAGAACAGTTTCAGGTGAAGAACGGACCTCCGGAACGAATTAATTTCTTAACCTGTACAGTGGTACCTCTGGTTGTGAACGGGATCCATTCCGGAGGCCCGTTCGCAACATGAAAAGAACGCAACCCGCAGCGGCGTGCCTGCGCGGGTTGTGATTTGCCACTTCTGCACATGTGTGTGACGTCATTTTGCGCTACTGCGCATGCGTGAGTGGCAAAACCTGTAAGTAACCCTTTCCGGTACTTCCGGGTCGCCACCTGAAAGAACGTAACCTGAAGCGGACGTAACCTGAGGTATGACTGTAAGGTGGCTTTGATGTGAAAAATGTTTTAAGCAGAACACGCTGCAGCAGCACCTACGGTGAAATATATACCCCCCTCCACCCCAATCGACAGCTGCCAGTTCAAGAACTAGAAAGCTGAAGTGTTTTCCTTTCAAGTTGGGGTAGAAAGGTATTGCTGAACAAATGTGGTGCATAAACAAGAGTCACACTTGTCTCAACGCTCTGAGTTTTCTACAGGCTTATCCAAGCAATTTATTAATTAACTGCCGTTGGTTTTCAACACCCCTGCATTAATATACAGTGGTACCTCGGGGTTAAGAACTTAACCCGTTCTGGAGGTCCGTTCTTAACCTGAAACTGTTCTTAACCTGAGGTACCACTTTAGCGAATGGGGCCTCCCACCGCCTCACGATTTCTGTTTTCATCCTGAAGCAAAGTTCTTAACCAAAGGTACTATTTCTGGGTTAGCGGAGTTTGTAACCTGAAGCGTCTGTAACCCGAGGTATCACTGTACAGTTTTATTTCACCATTCCTCCTCCTTCCTCTTCTCCAGTTTATCCTCATAACAACCATGTGAGGTAGGAGAGGCAGAATGCATGTGAATGGCCCAGTGAGCTTCACTGCTGAGAGGGGATTTGGACCTGGAACTCCATGGTCTGAATCCAACAATCTCACCACAACCCAGCCGCACCTTAGCCATGGGAGAAAGCTCCAATCCAAAGGTAATACTGAAACACACAGGCCACACTTAATGGAAAACAGAAGGGAAGGTAGCCCTGCTGCGGGAAGAAATAGCTGTGTTGCTATTTCTCTCGCTATCCTTGCAATCATCATTGTTTAGGAGGGTTGATGTGTGCCTAAGCTCAAAAGACAAAATGGACAAGTCTCCAGGTAAGGTCTAGAGAAGCCCCTGCTTAGTGAGTCAAGCTGAGGTTGAACAGGAAAAACCTGAATTGAATAATTCCCCTGCAAGAGTCCTCTCTGCAAGCCAAGTACTGGTATGATAATTGCAACAGGGTACAGCAGTGGAGGGGAAACGGAGCCGACTTTTCACCAATGACATCACAGGCACCCGGTAAGCTAGCGACACATGTGCATTTTAGGCAACACTTGAGGAGGGGCACATCTGGAGCCTGCACAACAAACCAGTGACAACTGTATGTTTGTTGTGTCATCAACTGGCTGTGCAGGAGAGATTCCTAGGTGACCGACAAACACGTTCTGAAGGCAACTGGCATTCAGGGCTGTGCTTTTCTTTTATTTTGCTGTTCAAAAGGGGCCAAGACGTCAGGATAGGTCACACTAGATTGAGCTATGAAATACCGCAGTGGAGGACATGTGCAGAAGAGAAAGTATCACATCCATGCATTTCAGACAAGATGAAAGGGAATGTTTTACCTGCCTCTACGACAAGGAAATGGCAATACCCAGTTTATAGCATTTCTCAGGACATGAGTGCTACTTTCGCCTCAGTTCCTACAAGCCATGTGGAACCTGTGCATAACCTGCCTGCCGCTCTTGCCATCTAGATGGCAGATGTAGGGAATCAGAAGCTGACACAATTTATGGATGCCGATGCCGGCATGCGCAAACCCACAATACCATGCTGTCTTTTCACTAGTACTGTACTACGTTCCACGATTCTGGCAACAGAACACTGACTTCAGAAAGTCCTCCTGTGGAGGTTTCAATAGAGTTGATAATGGAACTGTACCTGCCAAATCTCGCGTATACTGCTCTCGGGAACGGTCCATTTGGCACTTGTGACTGGCTAAAACTTTCTTCACCAGGTCCAGCATGCCGAAGTTCTGGACTGTATTGTTGAGCAAGACAGCATCTGGGGGGGGGGGGAGCAACAGGTTAAAAAAAACCCTGACTGATGAGAAAAGCATGACAATGTGGGTTTGTTTGTTTTTTTAAAGAAACCCATTATTTTTCTTATTGTAGAGATGGGAGAGGGAAGGAAAAAGTGGATCACAATGCTGGAATTTTTATTTATCAAGATTTAAATTCCCATTTCCTCAACCCAATGAAGACTAGGTAAGTGTCACTCCATTTGCCTTTAAGTTGCAAGTTCTTTGGAGCAGGGACCCAAATCATTTTCTTCTGCTTATGATGTTCTATAAAGTGTCATACACGCTCATTATTATTGTTAATTGTGTTTCTCATCCACCCTTCATGTAAAGGTCCCAGGGTGGGCAGCCACATATTAAAACTCAATTAGGTAAAGGTAAAGGGACCCCTGATGGTTAGGTCCAGTCGTGGATGACTCTGGGGTTGTGGCGCTCATCTCGCTTTATTGGCCGAGGGAGCCAGCGTACAGCTTCCGGGTCATGTGGTCAGCATGACTAAGCCGTTTCTGGCGAAACCACAGCAGCGCACAGAAACGCTGTTTACCTTCCAGCCTGAGCAGTACCTATTTATCTACTTGCACTTTGAGGTGCTTTCAAACTGCTAGGTTGGCAGGAGCAGGGACTGAGCAACGGGAGCTCACCCCGTTGCGGGGATTTGAACCGCCGCCCTTCTGATCGGCAAGCCCTAAGCGCCACCCACGTCCCAATAAAACTCAATTAAAACAGCAACCCCAGAGCCCACCCATAAATCCCAGATCCCTAATGGTATGATATGATACTTTCCAATGATGCTTATGTTATTTAAAACTATTTTCTCCAGGATCAGCAATGAATGTTTAGTAAAGTAAAAGGAGGTATGATTTTTATGATGCACCTCCATTTGGTGATATATACAGCTGTTTGTACTCTACCACCAAACCACGCAGATTCTGAGCTTTGCACACAGAATAAGTTGCACTAACTGCACTGATACATCACCATCATCATGATACATTTTGCATCCCAGAATCAGGCTACGAAGGAATTTGGAACACACTAGTTTTGGTTATTGTCTAAGGAGGCAGGAAAGTGCAGCAAAGGGCATGGACAGGTGGGAAAATACAGTCATACCTCGGGATAAACACACTTCAGTATAAGTATTTTTGGGTTGCGCTCCGTGGCGACCCGGAAGTAATGGAGTGCGTTACTTCCGGGTTTCACCGCTCGCGCATGTGCAGACGGTCCAAATGATGCCACACGCATGCGCGGAAGTGGCGAAACGCGACCCGCACAGTTGCGTCTTACGTTCTGTTCAGGATGCGAACGGGACTCCGGAACAGATCCCGTTCACATCCCGAGGTACCACTGTAATAGCCATTACTGTATAGAAAAAAGAACAAGACACAGGGCAGGTCACTAAAGCTCTGTATCCCACCTACCTGGAGCCTTATGCAAGACGCCCCTGATATTGCAATGTATAGAAGATATCGTTCTTTGAAACCATGAGAACTAGTAGATTTATTGTTAAGTGAAAGCTGAGAAAAATCAGCATGCCAAATCCTGCACCACTCACCAGCTACAGAAGCAGGCAACACACAAACCCTTAAACGCTGTGAGTAGAATCTTCTTCCATCAACTTCCTAATACCTGTATTATTAAGTCAGAAAGTGCATAGCAAATGCTAAAATAAAAAATAAACACCGCAAAGTCCAAAACGCTGGTTACTAACCAGGCTTCCCTATACTGCCAGCACTACCTTTAACGCTCTGCGCTCCTTAGATGTGCTAGCAATGCAAGTGATCTATAAACAAGGAGACTTAAAAAGACGATGCCATTTATTTGCAAGCCAGGTCTTACCGCTGAGTTGCAAGGGGGGCTCCTGAATCCTCTGCTGCAGGCCCTTCATGGTCTCCATGAGCTCCGCATGGAACTCGGTAATCACCTCTTCCAAAAGACCGGCTTCCTTTAGACCTCGCCAAAATGTAAATGTATCATCTGGAAGAAAGTGAGAGTATCCTGAAAAACCTGCAAAGCGGCAGGGGGAACAAAGCTGACCGACTGTTTGATAGACTCACTCCGGGAACGTAACATTTGCCAAGGAACAGCCTTGCAGTGATACCACACAAGCAAGAGGTCACATAGTAAAACAGTTCTTGGAGTCTACCATTTCAGATTAAAGGAGGAGTGTCATGTTTTAATTCCTCTCCCCATTCCCTACAAATAGAAAACTTGCATGCCAAACAGAACTCTTCTTTCTGAGTTCTGCAGGTGTTGAGTTATTTTACACGCAGGGAAGTTTTAAATTATGCAACTGCTCACCTGCGGTCTGAAGTGGTGGACTCCAGGAAGAGTTTTTACAGCAGAATTTGCTACAAAAACAAGCTGCCATTAATGCAGGACAGGTAATGTGGTAACTCTGGCTGCAGCCTCCTTCATCAGCAAAAGTTGGACCAGTAAAACAAGTTATTCTTAAGTATGTTACTACCAGCATGCCAAAGGCAAGACAGTGTTACGCGAATAGATGAATGGAATCACGGACAAAGCATCAGAAGCCAGCTTACACTGAATTAGACCACTGCTCCAGTGGCAGTCTAGAGTTTCAGACAGGGGTCTTTTCCAACCCTATCTGGAGATGCCAGGGGTAAAACCTGGGGCCTTTCGTGCGTGAGATGTGTACTCTGCCACTGAGGCATGGCCTTATGCATAGAGATGGCAGTGCCACACAGCTTACAACCTACATGCAACTTCCTTCGCACAAGCCTTTCAGATTTAGGCAGCCGATACGGAACAGAAGTGGTGGCACAGAAGATGTAGTGGGCTGAGGCCAGGCCACAGGAACGCTCTGCATGTGAAAATCACCTCCAATAGCAGTGGTCCAGTCCGTGGAGTCATCACATGTTTCTATGGTGATCGTGGCAGGAGACCCATTTACTGTGATTGAAACAAAATCAACATTCAGAAATCATCAACAAAACCACTTTTTTGTTGGCATGCTGGCGAAACAAGTCAAGACTTGCCCTTCCAAGATATAGCCATTCTTCTCTTGCTTTATCTTGGTTTGTCGTTGCGTTAAGTTTTTCTACAAATTTGGTACAATTGCCAGACAAAACCAAAGAGACATCTGCCCTGCATTTCTAAACCTAGCACAAATTTCAAAAAAAATTCTCAAGAACTTAGCATTCTGTTTGTAGGGGCTGGATTTTTATTATTGCTATTGTTATTTATTAATTCATACGCCATCTAATGCCAAATAGGCTTCAAAGTGGTTTATTTGACAAACCACCCTGGAATCACAAACCATGACGAGATTCCATTTTTTCTTCATGACAACCCCAAGCTAGGACACCGTGACCAGCATCAGATCAGTCAGCAAGTTTCAAGGCTGGGTACCATGGAGTTGGGTCTCAATATTGGTGTTTTTGTTATTCAATACAGAGCTTGGTTGATCCCCATACTTGCAATCAGAAATAAACTATCAACATAGGAAGACACCCTTTGGAGCTTCACCAAGTGTCTGGTGGCTGTTTATACTTCTATGAAAGTATTAAAATTAAACACACATACATGTGTACACAGGCAAATTCACATAACTACTTGTACTCAGCCCAGAGGTCCACCTGCTACTCTATTACAATGAGTTCACCAAGGTTTTGGGCAAAAATCTTTCCCAGCACTCATGCCAGGGATGGAAACTTGGACCTCATGTATTCAAAGCACATATTCTACAGAGCTATGGGCCCACTGGTGTAGGAAAATATGGAATTGCCTTATACCAGGTCAGACCATTGGTTCATTTAGCCTAGAACTGGTTACTTCAGCTGGCACACCTCCTTGAATGGAGGGGTTGGTGAATTGAACCCACATGCAAAGCATGTATACTGCCAGCTTCCAAGTGAGGACCAACCTGCCCCTAGGAAGACTGGCTACCAATGCCAAGGTTTTTCTGGCTTTCCCCATACAATCATACCTCGGAAGTCGAATGGAATCTGTTCCGGACGTCTGTTTGACTTCTGAAACGTTCAGAAACCAAAGAACGGCTTCTGATTGGCTGCAGGAAGCGCCTGCAGTCAATCGGAAGCCCCGTTGGACGTTCGGCTTCCAAAAGAATGTTTGAAAACTGGAACACTCACTTCCAGTTTTCGATTGTTTGGGAGCCGGAATGTTCTGACTCCCAAGGTGTTCGGGAGCCGAGGTATGACTGTACTCCCTTGGCTGAGTTGAAAGCCAGTGTGATGTAGTGGGTAGCCTGCAACACTCGAATAAAGGAGACCTGGGTTCAACAGCTTGCTCTGCAGGGAGGCTTACTAAGTGGTCTTGGGAAAGTTACTGTCTCTCAGCCTAACAAACCTGTAGGGTGTTCAAAGAGGGATACCGTATTTTTCGCTCTATAAGACGCAGCAGACCATAAGATGCACTTTATCCCCGGAAGAGCCGCACACACGCTCCACACGGCTCTTTAAAGGGAGCGCTGAGCAGAGCCTCCCGCCTGCATCCGCTCCATAAGACGCACACTCATTCCCCCTTACTTTTTAGGAGGGGAAAAGTGCGTCTTATAGAGCAAAAAATACGGTATATTCTTTGGGAGATAGGATAGGACACACACACACAAAATGAGTAATGATCAGAGCTGTTTGCTCTGCAGGCAGCCTTCTGTGGGACATCTGTCCTCTTAAGTATGATATCCCAGAAGCTGAAAAGCATGGGTTGATTGATCAGCAGGGACAATGGAATGAATGGGTTGGTGACTGTATTGATGACCACAAAAATATTTGAGTCTCTTCCAGTTCTAGTAGAAGATTGCAGCCAAGAACCAGCCGGTTAATTCAAAACAGCACAGGGAAACAGCCTCATTACCCACCCTCCACTGGGCTGTTATTGCCACCCCCCCACCCCCCGCAGGGTTGGCAAGATTGCAACAGTGCAACCGTGACAAAAGGAGACACAACAAGGATATTCCTCTTCTGTATCATTCTAACAAAGGTACAGTGAGCCTTATTAGGGTCTCAACTGGTGGACCTCCAGATACTCCCAGACAACAACCCCCATCAGCTCCAGCCAGCATAACCAGCGGTAGAATTCATGGCCTAGTGGAATGCAGTTCACATTACCATCTGCAGAGGCTGGTGTGAGAGGTATGTATTCTGTTGACGTCTGGCTTGTTAGGGGCACTCTGGCTCCGGTCAGGTCGATTTTAGTGCTTCGGCAGGTATTGGAACAAACTTTCGTATGCTCGTAAAAATCCAGCTTCCCCGAATCCATGATCTTCCTAAAACACACGAAACCAACGTGAACGTCCATCTCTGCTTTATTATTATTTTAATCACCCTGAAAACTCGCAAGTTGCATGTTCATGCTTCAGCTAGCTGTACCGAAATGCATTTCAATGAAGCCTACCTAGGAGACATACCCAACGGACACCTAATTTAGATACCAGATGGCATAGGTTAGGGCCTTGTGAATTCTGCCTCCCTAAGGCAAGAGGTGGTGGAACACACACATGCCCCAAAGATACGTTTCAGTTCCGCATCTGCAGGCAGGAACACACAGGCACTCTCACAAACAGGCTAACCTTAGCATGATCCCATTCATCCGGATTGCCCTCTTCCAGTCCTTCAAGGTGGACTTGCCAGCCAAATGGACAAATTCCTTGGGACTTATCAAATGGTTGTCATACTGGAGGGAAGAGAGACATGTTGTGGTATAGGTTAATTATTCTAAAGGTATTTTGCTGTAATTCCTTTTATAAACCTAGTCACGTGCAAACTTTTTCTTCTCCCAATTTCTCTTCCTTTCCATCTCATTTTTAAAAAATTTAGATGATGAGACCGTGGGGGCTGGGATCTGTGTGCTTTTACAAGCAATACGTAAGATTAGAGAATGGAAATGTTACACATTACAGGATATAAAACCATCTCACCTGGACACATTTCACATTGATACCGGGGCAAACAAACTTCCTCCATATTAGGTTGGCTTTGCTATCTCCGCAGGTGATGGGATAAACTATCTCAGCTTCCACACAATCATCACCTTCAGCCATCTTCACTTCAGGGAGAGGGATCGGGAAAGATAAAATTTTTTGAAAAGGTTACAACCATTGATTGCTGGTTGGCAAAAGAAGTTTGAAATACAGTTGAGAGGAAAACTGAAAACAGGATGAAAAAGTATTTATTACTGAGCACCAGCCTGATTAACTGCTTCCCATAAATGAGATACATTACAATTATCAAGTTATTTACATAGAATCGTAGGGTACAACCAATGAACGTGGAGATACTGTTCTATGTCCTGAGCAGCTAACAATCTAAATTTCACCAGTGGTGAAAGTGGTAATTGTAAAGACATAGATGCCTGAATTAGAAACACACAAACTGCTTTTGTCCTAATAGGCCTCTCTATTTTGGGCATCCCAGTAGTGATGTATGGAAGTGAGAGCTGGACCATAAAGAAGGCCGAAGAATTGATGCTTTTGAATTATGGTGCAGGAAGAGACTCTTGAGAGTCCCATGGACTGCAAGAAAATCAAACCTTTCCATTCTGAAGGAAATCAGCCCTGAGTGCTCACTGGAAGGACAGATCATAAAGCTGAGGCTCCAATACTTTGGCCCCCTCATGAGAAGAGAAGACTCCCTGGAAAAGACCCTGAGGTTGGGAAAGATGGAGGGCACAAGGAGAAGGGGACGACGGAGGACGAGATGGTTGGACAGTGTTCTCGAAGCTACCAGCATGAGTTTGACCAAACTGCGGGAGGCAGTGGAAGACAGGAGTGCCTGGCGTGCTCTGGTCCATGGAGTCACGAAGAGTCGGACACGACTAAACAACAGCAACAAATTTTTTGCATTCTACCTATCCTGCAACAGGTAAAGTGGTAACTCTGACTAAGCCAACTTTGGTTTAAGAATACGCAAGTTCTCAAGCCAGAGGGATATGGGGCACAAACCTCTGGGGCAGCAAGGGGGTCAAAGGGTGGCATTCAACCACTGCATTCCATCAGCACAGGGATTTCCACTTGCATGATTGGACATCATCGCTGCCGCCGCCACCGTGTCCTCCCAAAACCTGATTGAGAGGGTTGGGGGAACCCCTACAGTTTAGGGGTTTGCATGGGGCACCTGGGGAAAAGTTGGACCATTCCAGAATAAAGGAGTAGTGAGGTGAAACAGGCAGCAAGGTGTGCAGTGTAACAATATAGGAGGAGGAAGGGAGCTGTGGAATAGGAAGGAAAACTAATGGTGAATATCTTGAGCCAGGGTTGATGGTCTTCAGCACCTGGACACAACACTGGCTCCTTAATCTCCCCCCCCCCCCCGAATGCACACCTATAAAATAGGCAAATGGTGACAGACAGGGGCCAGGAACAAAGTTACTGCCTCCATCAAGGCTGGGGAGATCCCCTCAGATGTTGTTAAGCTACAGTTCCCATCATCCCTGAATATGCTGGCTGGAGCTGATGGGATCTGGAGTCCAACATCTGGGAAGCCACAGGCTCCCTGTCCTGTTCTTGACCTATGTGACTTTCCCATACATTAAAGGTAAAGGTAAAGGGACCCTTGACCATTAGGTCCAGTCGTGGCTGACTCTAGGGTTGTGGCGCTCATCTCGCTTTATTGGCCGAGGGAGCCGGCTTACAGCTTCTGGGTCATGTGGCCAGCATGACTAAGCCGCTTCTGGCGAAACCAGAGCAGCGCACAGAAATGCCATTTACCTTCCCGCCGGAGCGGTACCTATCTACTTGCACTTTGACGTGCTTTCAAACTGCTAGGTTGGCAGGAGCAGGGACCAAGCAATGGGAGCTCATCCCGTCACAGGGATTCGAACCGCCGACCTTCCGATCAGCAAATCCTAGGCTCTGTGGTTTAACCCACAGCGCCACCCGCGTCCCTCCCATACATTAGTGGTCTTCTATTAGGAACGCAGAAGCCCACTGTCCTTCAGGAAAGGACAGATCCCCAGCAGTTTCCCCAACCTCAGAATGCTCATTCCAGGAGCTGGAAACAAGAGCTGGAAACCCCTTAGCCTATGTGCTCTTGAGCCTTTCTGCTGGCAATGCTACCTGCTAATGCAAGTGACTGTGGTACAAAAGAGGCAAGCCTCTGTTACTCACCCCACTTACCTAACAGGGCTTCTTTCAAATGTGCAGAGGCTGTAAAAGCAGCAGCGGCTGCAGCGGCTGCATTTTCCGTCTCCAGGGTGTCTTCATTTAGGTCATTGCTAGCAAGAAATAAAGACACAAACAGTTAAAAAGAAATGGGGAAGCTGCCCGTGCTATGGTAAGGTTTGCTCTGGAGAATGACTCCAGAGCAATTCCAGCTATAATACTCAAAAATGCAGCTCTTCCCCTTAAGTAGGAAGTTGTTTTCCCCTGGAAAAACAAAGTTGTACACAGTGCAGCAATTTCAAGACTGCAACCCACGGATTCATATGGTTAAAACAATATTAAGCATGAAGGAAAAGCAGTTGTAAGGGATTAAAGCACTGCTGCGAAGCTTAGAAATGCAGCACTGGAAGTAGCTTCTGAAGCCTGAGGACTCAATCTTTAGGTATTTAACAACAATTTCATAGTTGTCACCTTTTAAAAAGATGTGTGTTCTTTTTCTGCTAAACATCCTAGAATCTAGAGGCATCTTGGTAGAGTTTATAGCAATTCTGGCAGAGGAACGGATCTTAATTCATTTAGCACGTCTCAAACTCTCCACATGACACCCAATAATATCATTTCTTCTAGCATAGGCAGCGCTGCTCTGTTCTTCCAAGGAGATGGCAATTACTCAGGCAGATCCACCTAATCCTACCATCAAAAAACCGTTTGCACGGCTGGTTTCCATGACAAAACTCGTGGGTGGAAGCACTGCTCAGATTTTTTTGCATAGAAGTCATGCTCCAAAAGTTTCCCCCCACAGGAGGTTTCATCAAGCAGGCAGGAAGATGATGGAAACAAGCACCACAGAAGCAGCAGCCTTGCTTCCGCTCCTGAAATCACTTTTACTGAACACTAGAAAGGTTTCTTTCCCAAGCAAAGGACAACATAGAAGGAATTACAGTAAGAACTACAGGTTAAATGGTTTGTAGCCTAGTAAACTACTATGGCTTCAGAGCCCTCCTCAAACAGAGAAAGGAAAAACGGTGTACAACATTAGTTCCTGTGATTGGCAGGCAGGATGAAGCCTCTGGATTAACCAAGCCTGATGTAAGGACTAGTAGCCTGACCAACAGAGCAGACCTTTCTTCTACTTGTTTCACTTCCACTACCAAGGGGTGTGGGGTTGGAGAACACAAACCCTCCACTCTTGGATTTGGGTATAGCTGTCATCAGCCTTAACTTGACATATATTGCTGACCTCAAGAGTGGTAAATTCAGACCACTAGAAATGGCCATGGTTGACCTTCTGTTCAATTTCTTTCCGTTTTCAAACATTAGATGCACATGCCTGCTAAAAGCCTTGTCTAAAGCGAGGGTGGGGAACTTCCAGTCCATGGAGGAGGCCACTTCAGGCAGGTCACCCCCACCTGCCCTTTGACCTCAGGTGTGGGGCAGGTAAAAGACCTGGCTCAGCAGAAAGAGTGCTTCAGGCACCGTCAATCAGCAGTGCCTGCAAAAACCCCTTGCAAAGTGCTCTGCAAGACCCGTTCAGGCACCTGAGAGCATGAGACTCCGAATCTCACGAGTTGCGGGTTCAAGCCCCACATTGGGTGAAAGATTCCTTGTGGTCCTTCCAACTCTACAATACTATGCTTCTAAGTCATTGTGACATTGGGTAATCACAGGTTGGAGGCGGAGGGAGTGAAGAAAACTGTCCAGCTCTCTAGCCAGATTAGGTGCCACACCCCGATGCTAGAGGTTTCACGAAGAGGTTCTCCTTGCTCCCTTTAATAACAAAAAACAATTCACTGTGATATGTACAGCATGCAGAGATCTATCCTCCCTCCCCCCCCCCCATTTTATGTTGTTGGGTGATTTTTGTGAATGAACTACAGTGGTACCTCAGGTTAAGTACTTAATTCGTTCCGGAGGTCCACTCTTAACCTGAAGCTGTTCTTAACCTGAAGCACCACTTTAGCTAATGGGGCCTCCTGCTGCCGCCGTGCCACCGGAGCACGATTTCTGTTCTCATCCTGAAGCAAAGTTCTTAACCCGAGGTACTATTTCTGGGTTAGCGGAGTCTGTAACCTGAAGCGTATGTAACCTGAGGTACCACTGTATATATGTTTAGTTTTAATGCATTTTTATTACATTTTGTTGTCCCTGTAAATTGCTTTTGGACTCCTTTTTTGTGAAGCTGTACATAAACAGAGCAAATCTTATCTAACAGAGGCTGCTTTGGGTTTCCTTTAAATGTTATACGTTCTGAATTGTGTTTCTCCCATCCAAACTGAAGTGAAATGAACAGGGTGTGTGCAGCAGCTTACAACACTAACGTCAGCCATCCCAGAGGCTAAATAATGACCGTTTGCTTACCTGTGCTGGGAGAGATTGGTGGTAACTAGCACAGTTTTCACCTCCTCCATGTTACTGCTGTCAGCCATGTTGTCTGGAGTTGTTACCACCACCACCTCCTCCATGTGAACACTCACATCTGGGGTTGCCATCCGCAGGAAGGCTCGTATGGCAAGAAAGCACCAACAATGTGTGGAAAGCCCCTCCTGGAATCTTCACTCTGCTGTTACAGAACCAAAGAGTGAAGAGGTTATTGCTCTGCCGATCTGGCCAGCGGAATATTTGGTTTTCTACATCTGAATGTAAAAGGAATCAGAAGCACACACACACATACTACACACTTGGAAACGAGATCCAGTGCAATTTCAGAAGGACAGGGTGCTTAAGAGGAAGATGGCTCAACAGAACAAGCACATAGTGGCTCTTTCTGTGAAAGCCCACATCTTAGATGAGTTAAATGCCAGAGAACTGGATCCCAAACAGATGGCTGCTTGTGCATGTGATAGAGAAGCCAAAAAACTTCTCTAAAAGACAGTGAGATTCTGAACGGTTTAAAACTCCATTCCCTGGAGTAGATGTTAATACCTCAGGCAACGTACAGAAAAGCTCTGCTGGATAGCTACTGAAGGATGCAATGGGGGCAGAGAAGCAAGGTACACTGGTTGTCGGATGAGTTAAGACATTTAAGCTGAATACATGAAACTATCCTATACCAAGTCAGAGCCTCGGTCTACGTAGTTCAGTACTGCCTACTTTGGCAGTGACTCTCCAAAGCCCTTTTAATCCTTTAATGCAGGAATGGAGAACCAGTGGCCCTCCAGATGTTGCTAGACTGTAACTTCTGTCATCCCTGACCATTGGCTATACACACAGACACCATGGCTCCTGCTACTAACCAGCAACCAGTTTCAGGAGCTTACGCAATAATGGATTTTTCATAGACCATGCACATCCCCATATAGTTTTGGCAAGCACTTTTAGAAAATTAATTTAATTCACTGTTTGTCATTTACTCTGCTCTACAATATTTTAATGACTTTATTATACACTGTTTATTCTTTAAATGAGACAGCATTTTAGAAATTCTCTTACAATAAACCACTATATAGCCATGTATCTGGCAATGTTTGTGTGTCCATGTGAGATTTATATGCAAGGCTGAAATAAAGCAAAACGAGTAAACTGTAAGCAGCCAATGAACAAAGTTTAAAATCAGCAATGTGTCATAAGAGGTTCTTGTCCCCTGTAAAAGCAAGGAGGATGTTTTCTTTTTAAAAAAATAATTTTTATTAAAGATTTTTTGGGGATACTAAAAGCCACAATTGCAGCACTATAGCACTGAGTCAAGATGGGGTGCATTTGAAGACGGGAAAGAGACTGTATACAACATTTAGATATGCGGCAGACTCACCATATCATGCTATGAGGCTGTAAGCAGAAGGGGAAAAAGAGGAAGGAAAAACAGTACCAGCAGCCATTGCAGCCTACGCTGAGCAAGATTTGACAATTCACAAGCAATGAACTGAGTAAGCATATTTAAAAAGATGGGATATCTGAGCATTCTTTTTAAACTAAGATTTAAGAATGACCTCCAGTGCTCAACCTGGGATCCTGGGCAAACTAAAGAGAGAAGTACAAGTATGCAGCAAATGGTACCCATTCAAGGGTTTGTGTCTGCAAGGTCTATGAAAACCAAAACCACAGTCATTCCTGCATGGCTTGGTTGACACTACAGTCATATTTGCTGCTTTGCCCACTCCATCTCCTGGCAAAGACCCTAATTTAGTCTGAAAGGGAGACGCACGTCTCCAGATATGTGCAGGGGAACTGCATCTGGCAAAAGGCAGACTGGAAGAATCTGTGAAACAGGTTATGCACACTCACCCTTTCAAGAGAACTACAGATAAAATATGCTTTCTGTACCTAAGAGGAATAAACTGGAAAACCCGCATACTGTGGGATGAACTCGGAGATAATGCAAAAATACAACTAGTTTGGTCCACCGTCATACAGCACTTTAGCAATCTGACATAGAAGGAAGTTTAAAAAGCTGCAGTCATCTCATTTTTTCCCTGCCTGCCACTAGTTCTATCTATTATCTATTACATAATAGCCTGAAATGAAGTGGTTTATCCCCTTACAGTGGTTTATATGCAGACATTGAGATTCACAAAATAGGTGCAAGATTGCTGTTAATTAAGCAGAGGCCCTTTTTGCTGCAAATATTGCATGCAGCAACTACCAAACAAAACTGACTCACTTATACTTCTTGAGCTTTGTGAATGCTCTTTCTGCTGCTGGTTTTTATTTTATGCTACTGCCTTAATGTATTTTGGCTATTCTAACAATCTGAGATTGTTTTAAACTCTGCCTGTATGAAGTCATTTATTTTATTAACCCCCTTCCTTTATGTCCTCCCATGTCAAATTGTAAACTGCCGCAGTGACCTATCCTCTCCTTTTTGGGAAAACACAATGCACACCAGTTGGAGCTTATACAAAGAGTAACATTGATGTGGTCTTCATTTTTTATTTTTTTTAAAAAACCCTGTTTCAAAATTATTTGTAATTTTTAAATATCATTTTGTTGCCTCCCCTCTTTCAAAACTGCAGGTTGCAAGGCCCTTTGGAGGAGGGGGACTGTACTCTTGCACTTTGCAAAAAGGAAGAAGCACTTGTATGAACTAATATCTGTATCATGACCAGAGGAGGAATGACCACTGGGAGGAACACAGAGGGGAGAACCACCACATCTGCACCTGCCCAACTGGACGCCTTCTTCTGCCCTACCTGCAACAAAACGTGTCTCTCCCATATGGGTGTCTACAGCCACAGCAGGCACTGTAAAACTCTCCAACGGTTGGACTTCATATTGGAAAGCACACTATGCCACTTATCTCCTGACTAGAGATGGGAAGGCCTGGGGAAAAAATCAGGGAAATGGGGGGGGGAAACCAGGTTCTTCCCCAATTTCCCCATTTTTCTCTCTCAAAACAATTATTACAAAACTATTTACATATAACACAAACAGGACAAAAAACCCATACAAACAAACACAGACAATAACAACGTATCATTAACGTCCGATTCACCTCATTGTACTTTTTACAGTTTATTAATCTATATGCACTTCATTATTATTATTATTTTCCGTTACTTATCAAAAGAAATTTTACTTTGATAGTTTCCTTATACTTCAAGATTCAATCTAAATCTGTCAGGAGATTTGCATTATCATAATACTTTCTAATGTATTCTTTAAATATCCAATCTTTCCCGGGTCCCGTCCCCCCCAGGCCTTCCCATCTCTACTCCTGACACAGCTGAGTGCCAGCAACACGCTATCACTGTTGCAAACAAACCACATTGAGAAGGCCATGAAGCGGCATACAAATTCCGTTAAATAAATAATCGCCATTGAGAAAAGTGCTGTATAAGTTTTCTGTTGTTTTTTTTAAAGGGTAAACAAAAACAAGACTTATATTTGGAACCGGACTCGAGGCAAGTAAGCAAGAAAGAAAGAAAGAAAGAGGCGAGCCTCCCGTGCACCACGCGCGCATATGCAAACCGTGCACGCGCGTATATATGCAACAGCGCGCGCGCGCACGAGCCTCCCTCGAGCCTTCCCCTTGGAGTGAGGAGAAACGCGAGGTCCTCCTCCTCCTCCGCGAAGAAATCCTCCCGTCCACACGGGGGAAAAGCCGCCCAGCCCTTTAATGCCGGCTCGCGACGCCGACTGCAGGCACGCGCACGCGCACGGGGCCGCGTGTTTCCTCCGCCCGCCCCCCCTTCTCTCTCTGCGCAGCGCGTGAGGCGCGGGGGGGGGGGGCGCCGCCGCCGCAGAGCGCGAGGAGGAGGGCGTGCGCGCGCCTGGCGCCACTGGCTGCGCGAGGGAAATGCGGGGCGGCGGCGGGGGGGGGAGGGGAGGGTGACGGCCGAGCGTTCCTACCGCCGCCGCCGCCGTCACGTCCTGACGCTCCGCAGGGACCTGACGGAGTGGACGGAAGGCGGGGAGGGGCTGCCTTACCTCAGCCGCTTGCCGTCCGACGCCCGGCCTCGGGTTCCGTCCGAGCGGGTGGAGAAGAAGAAGGAGGAGGAGGTGGGTTTTGTTTGTTTTTCCCCGCGGGGCGGGCGGGGGGGGGGTTGTCTGAAGGGAAATGGCTGCCTTGGCTTGTCTATATATATCTCTGAGGGAAGCTTGGGCTGCGGCGCGCGCGCAGGGCGCCTCGGGTCCCTTCTGCGCAGGCGCAGGCCTCCCTCTCCCTCCTCCAGCTACTTAGCCGAGACTTATTTGACACGGCGAGGGCGGGGGTGGATATGGGAGGCCGCCGCTGCTGCTGCTGCCCTCAACTTCTTTTCGAGCTCGGCGGGGTGAAATAAGTCCCGGCGGGAGCGCAGCGCGCCTGCGCGAGGTGGAAGGCGGAGAAGGGGCAGAGCTGGCTTTGCCGGCTTCGCGCGCGTTGGCGAGAGAGGCCGAGACCGAGAGCGCGCTTGTGTTTCGGGAGCGCGCCCTGTGAATACTCGGGGCGGCGTGCTTTTGCTTTGCTTTTCTTTCTTTATTTCTTTAGGCGGGTTTCTGCGCTGCCCAATGAGCAGCGTCCTCCGCCTCTGGGGATTCACGATTCAAAAGCGAATTCAATACGCAAGTGCACGTTTTGTAAATAACGTCGAGCGCGGCTTCCGCAGGGTGCGCGTTGCAAAAATTTATATATGGAAAAAAAGCTGATAAGGAATTGGTTTATTTTTTAGGGTATTTACACATCATGCAATTTTCCCCCTCAGTGTTATTACAGGGTCCGGCCATCAGTTCCCGCCCTCCCTCCTCAAAGGTTTAGGGTAGGTAGCAAAGGGGGGGGGAACCCACGTGAAGCAAAACAAATGCTCGTTTAAAATGTGGGGAATGAGAAAAATGAAAAACTGCACATCTTGTGTAACTTAAACACCAAGCCAAACAGGAAACAATTTTTATATTCATATATGTATTCTGCATTACTTAATCCAGCTGTTAAAGGTGTCATTGACTTTGGAGACACTCGAACTCAGGACGCAAGGGAGAAACGTGCTAAGAGGAAGGCACACTTGACAAATCCACACCGTGATCAACTCTCGCCCAGAAACCAATCTCCCCACTGTGGAAGGATGTGTGGATCCAGAATTGGCCTCCACAGTCACTTACGGACTCATTGTTAAAACCGTGTTTATGGAAGACAATCTTACTCAGCTATGAGTGATCGCCAAAGAAAGATTACTTAACGGATCAGGTCAAGCATGTTACAAAGTAATCATGGTATTGCTGTTTTGTTGATGACTTCAAAGCCTTAACACTTCAGACAAGGCTTTAAATCTTGGTGTTGCAGCAGATAATAATGATAATCTTGGTGGATGATGAATCACCCATGTATTTCAGTCCTCTTCTTGAGAAAAAAAAATCCTCTCATGCTGTCCTGTTATTGCCAAGGACAAGGGTTCTGAAACAGCTGTGTGTTTTCTGCTCCAAATTGTGAAAAAACACGAGAACAAGAAACAAAAATTAATCTGTCATGAAATAGAATTTCACAGGGATTGTGAAGGCCTATGTGAAGATTCCAGAGGCTGAAGCCATGTTTACAAGAATCGGTGACAATGTTATCCTATCATAGGCTGTCAGTAGTGGAAGCAAACTGAACAGCTTCAGCTCAGGTGCCATGCAACCTAGTTGAAAAAGAGAAAATACTATTGAGTGTGAGATCAGGGTGGTTCATTTGGAGACATCTTTTTATTGGAGAGCACCCTTCAATCCTTGTATAATTAATCTGTTAATTCACAGTCTCCCAAGAATTTTGCCTTTTCTGAATGTTAATATGCTACTAATAATATATTATTATTTAAGTAAAAAAAAATCAAGTGGAACTCGGAAGAATAGGAGGGAAGAGAAGCAAGCCTTCAGGGCAGTTGAATTGGTGTTCTGAGTGACAGTAGTACTCTATTTATGCATATGTTGGAGTGACTGTGGGCCAATAAACATTTGTTTGCACCTCCCTTGACTAGTGTATAGCAATGGCACACTGGGTATGTAATACAGAAGGATGTGGACTTTTCAAGATACCGGTAGGTAAATTTTCGGCAAGTGTTCCATGAATGTAGTTTTGCTGCAGAGAAAAACATCATGTGCAATGACATAACAAACACAGAGATATTCTCTCTTCCAGATAGCATGCCTTTGGCAATGTTCTTCAGGGACAGGCTGCTTCAGGATTACTGAAGTAATTTTTACTCTTATTGTTACAGGACCTGATCCAAGGAAAACAAAAAACGAGGATACATAAAGGTCAGGGGGCTGGTGTTATACAATATCCTTAGTACTCAGCTTAGTATCACAACCCACGGTGATTTTGAGGAGTCAGATCCTTTTGGGTTTTCGTACTTGTTGGACTCATGTCTTTAATGGAAATAGTGACATATGCCATTCCCTGTCTTTCCTATAGAGTTCGTATCCAGAAATCAGTGTCTCACTGGTTTCCCTCCACGTTATTTTTGAAATGTAGGGACTGCACCTGGTATCTTCTGCATGCAAAATATATGCTCTACCACTTGCCCAGTCAGAGGAGCTGGGCTCTATTAGGCAACAATTTTAATCTAGGCTACATTGAATTTACTGGATTTATTACATCTTAATAGTCATGCACAGGATCACACTGTTGGGGCAGCATTTGTCATGGACCAGCAGTACACAGAGGAGTGGCGGGAGGCACTAGCTGGGGAATCCTCACGGGAAGACATCTCAGAGCCAGGGGATTAGTGATGGGACGATGATGAGTTAAAGAGGGAACAGACTGGGAGAAGGACGAGTTGGAAGCTGAAGAGGTAACAGGCTTTGTGAACAGGAAGAGTGTGACAGAGAGCAGTGGAGACCCAGAGCAGAAGAGGAGGCTGGAGAGGATGGGGGGGCCAAGAGGCAATGATGTCAGGCTGCTGAAGAAGCCAGGAGGTCTCCCCCTCCTGCTGCAACAAGCTCCCCTCCCCCTTAGTTTCCCAGAACCTGAAGAGGGTGGAGCAAAGACAGGTAAGATGAAGGAGCCTCCAGATTGTTTTGGTAGGACCCAGGGAGGAGGAGATTTAGGGAGCTGTGGGAAGGCCGCTCACATCTGCCTCATTGGAGCAAGATCTACTGGGAGGAGTTGCTGTGCTCATTGGGCCTGGCCTCCTGCGCGGTATTGTTTCTTTGCATAAAGAGAGTTAACTTCACTGACACACTGAGTTACTACTGAGCTACTCCTGACACCCACTCTGACAGTGTTCTAGGCTGTCTAGCAAAAGCTTTGACCTGTATGGGGATGTAGTTGCAACTTCTTAGTGTGAGATTTCTTCCATAAGCTGATTAAGGAGTTTGGTTAATATTTCTTCAAACCTGCATATGTGAGTTGCTGCTATTTTTGGATATACAGTGGGGCTTTGCTGTCACTACAGTGAGAAGAGGACATGCTCGAATAGGAGAAAATTGATAATTGTGTTGTCTTGCAAGGCAGCTGAAGAGCTTCCCAGAAAGAACTGCTGCGCTGGAAAACTAATTGTATTAAATGAATTAATAAAAACAGAGAGTTGTGGTTTCATACCAAGTTTATTTCTTTTTTTTTCCTCATTAATCACTTCTTTGCACAACAACAACCTCAATTTGACAATGAAATGCACGTGGTAGATTTAAAGGAATCGGACGAGGCTTATCTTTAAGAGTGAGAAAAGTCCATTCATGGCACTATTACACATTCTTTTTTCCTGTCTATTTGGAAAGGACAAAGACAGCACATGCTGCATCCTAAGAAGTGAATCTTGTGCAAGGCCAACAACATTCAAACAGGCTATCAGGAGGGAATAGGAGGGCAGTTCTGGGGGGGGGGGTACGGGAACTGAAACACCATCTAATTTTGGACAGCTACCTAGGTGTTTTGAAGTCCGCTTTTGTAGACTGAGCCTCCTTTTGCATGAATAGGAGCCTACTTTTAGGGTCATATTTTTACATAATGCTTATCAAACAGCAACCTTTACAGTTCACCTGTGAAGGTCTCTCCATTTTATATATGAAAGGTGCTCACCAGCCTTTTAGCTCAGTCATAACCATGTTTGCCCAGGTAGTAAGCTTGTTTGGTTTGATTGGACTTCCTTCCAAGGAAGTGTAGCCATAATACCGGTAGTTGTAGAGAAAGTTGATCCACTCATCTGCTAACTAGAATAAGAAATCCAGCAAGCTTGCATCCTTTCTTCACACATCTTACGCACCTCTAGCATCCAGTGGTCACTACTCTCTTTCCATTACAGTAAGCTTACGGATTGTAGAAACCCAATTGCTGAGATGTGCCTATGTTGTCATTGCTCAAGAGAGACAAGGCCACAGAAACAGCTTTATTAGTGATCCTTAATATGAAATCTGCTATACAGAAACATCAACAGGGCCATAAACAGTCATTCCTTGCCACTTACTTCCAACTGTCTCTTGTATCTGTGTTTGTGTGTGAATTTTGCCACATGCATTTAGTGATGTAGTACTTGCTGGCTATAAGTGTACCTGAATGGAGCCATTTGAGCCAGGCAATCAATAAAATACCTAGAGCTACTATAAGGATGTTCATGGAGCAGCAGGAAACTTCCTTTATGCTGCGATTGCAGTTCTTGGGCAATAACCACTTTGCAAGAGGACATTTAGGGAAGTGGTTCCCAATTAGCTAAGTACTGCAGGACACTCGCCCTCCACCCCCGTTTTTCAGAAGCCAAGTCACGGACCACCTACTTTTGAATTTTTTCTTAATAATAATAGTACCCCACCCATCTGACTGGGTTGCCCCAGCCACTGGGTGCATTTTATTATGTGAATGGTGCCACAGACCCCCTGGGCGGGTGATGCAGACGACCAATTAGGAACCACTGATTTAGAGTAAGTCTCCCCCAACAAGAACACTGGCTTTGTTCAACAGCACAGCAACCAAATAGTGCTTGAAATGAAAATTTCCTAAGTATGCATGTACAAAGACCATTAAGTCCTTACAACCTCTCTCTCCCCCCTTAAAGGCAGGTCTGTGGCTCTCTTAAAATAAGTGGAATATTTAGTGCTTGGAATATGATACAGAACTGTTGTAGCCCTTCTTTGGATTTACTAATGATAAATTGCAAAATTTAACTTCTCTTGCACTGAGCAGGGTCCACCAATATGCATATGGAAATGTGGCAACTCAGCTTTGAAAATGTGTAAAGCCACTCTGGGACTCCTAAGCATTGCTTAGTCCCTCTCAGCTGATTCCTTCCCTCCCTCAGCCTTAATTTTAGTTGCTGTGGCAGTTAATTTGGTTCATAATCTCTCAAAGCAGCATGCATTTCAGTAGCACACCTAAATGTTATTAAGACTGAACTGTATCTAGGCACGGATACATAATGAAGAATTTCCAGTTCCATTAAAAAAAAAAATTATAAAAGTAGGATCTGCAACAAAATGCAGTGTAGAACACTTCTGTTCAGGATACTTTTCCATGCACATGCTGGTCTTTGGTCCCCTCAACTGTTAGCCGGTGTTCTACAAGCACTGAGCATGCCAAGTCCTCATTGCAGACTGTTTTTAGGATTTTTTGCTTACTCCTTTAGAATCTCCCAATTTCTTTTTTGGGGGTTCTAGGAATCAAACAGACATGAATTTAATTTGTGGATATGTGCACCACAGTTAAGAATTCTCCACAATCAATTCAAGTGGGTACCTGCCCATTTTATTAGCCCCCTCCTGATTTATTTGCACCATGAGTAAAATATCCTTATAAGCACCCATTGTAATTCAAGTTATATCCAGTTCTATAGAAAAAGTACTTTCTTGGATGCACCGATTGACACTGGATAAACTCATCCCCTGGCTTCCCTGATACATCCAAATGTAGAGATCCTGATACATTTGGTATCATTTTCTTTTCACAACATAATGCATCTGTACTGATAACACCTGATACAAATTTCCACCTGACAACATGCCTGATAACATCAGCGTACCCTTGGATATGCAGGCTATATCTCAAGGCACTGAAAGAGTTAAAAGTGAAGGAAATAAAGATCCCATTCTTCATATCTAAGTGAGCACTATGGGCAGAATTCATTGACTGCCTAAGGCAGCCTTCCCTGATCTGGTGCCCCCCCAGATGTCTGGAAGACACAAGGTTGGGAAAGCCTGGCCCTAAGGGCTAAACTCTTTTGTGTGTGTGCATTGGCCATTTGGATCTAATACCGCAGAACTTCCAGAGACAGCCTTCCAGATATTAGATTCTCACTTCCATCAGCCCTGGCCAAGTCAGGGATGATGGGAGCTGTAGTCCTACAACAGCTGGAGAGCACCAGACTGGCTGTCCCTGGTATAGTGGATGCACACATTTGTAAATCAACCCTAAGACTTCCAATGATTGCACATATTAAGAGTCTCCAGAACACAAGTTATTCTTCAAGAACAGCATCACAAAATCAGGGCTGGTTGTGCATCATTTGCTATGTAGATCTGAAATGGTGAATGGGACCCAAGGAGCAGCCACAGAACACACCGAGCTCCGTGACTGTAGGGTCAGAAAGTGGAAGGAAGCACCTACAGAGAATATGACACCTCTGTCTAGTTGAAAGTTGCCTCTACCTTAAGAGGTAGGCTGGAACATTTGGACCTCAACAGACGAAAACTAAAGTGGACCCAGACCTTTCAGAATGTCAAGACTTCCTTGAATTTTCCCCCACTCTGCCCTTTTCCTCCTACCATCCTCAGAACAGTTTATTCCAGTACCTGCTCAACTTACTATTGAATTCTCACACTTTTCCCCCTTGTTTTGATCTGTGTTTCTATCCCAAATCTATAGATTTCTTCATATGTGAAACAGCCCATCTGTTCCAGTAAGCAAAAAAGACTGAGAATGCACTGATATTAACTCTTCCTGCTATTACTCTGGCCTAAAGGTAAAGGTAAAGGTACCCCTGCCCGTACGGGCCAGTCTTGCCAGACTCTAGGGTTGTGCGCTCATCTCACTCTATAGGCATAGGCCGGGAGCCAGCGCTGTCCGCAGACACTTCCGGTCACGTGGCCAGCGTGACAAGCTGCATCTGGCGAGCCAGCGCAGCACACGGAACGCCGTTTACCTTCCCGCTGGTAAGCGGTCCCTATTTATCTACTTGCACCTGGGGGTGCTTTTGAACTGCTAGGTGGGCAGGCGCTGGGACCGAACGACGGGAGCGCACCCCGCCGTGGGGATTGAACTGCCGACCATACGATCAGCAAGTCCTAGGCGCTGAGGTTTTACCCACAGCGCCACCCGCGTCCCACTTACTCTGGCCTAGTTCTCACCAAAGCAGTAAGCTGCATAACTTTAGACTGTAGGTTGGACTTCATGATGGAATGCTCAGACATTCTTTACTATAAAAATACCCCTGCACATACAAATCTAGGTATCAGAGAAGAGCTTTAACCTCCCCTTATTCCTGAAATGATAGCTTTCCATATGCATTCTGTTTTTATAGGGAGGAGCATTCAATCATGTGAGCCCCCAGTTGCAGCCTGAAGTGGTACAGCTCAGGTAGACGTTGTTCTCCAATGACAAACTAGGTTCCATGCTTGACTCTAAATGCTTTTGATGCAAAATGGATAACTACCAGAGTGAATGCTGCTTTTGAGCTTGTGCTCATGACTATGACATTTCTAGTTGTTGTCACCATTATTATCAATATCAGCCATCATAACCATAGTACTAAAAACAGTATTTACAGCAAGTCAGAAGTACACACCAAGCAAACACCCAGCACCACAGCAAATAAGACATCGTTAACATCTTGCAGACATTTTCCCAGGTCCCACCAGAGGACATGGGCACTGAGGACTGCAACCACTTCTTACACACAAACTCTATTTTTCCTTAAAATTTATTTAACATTTTAAACTATCATCACTATAGCATGGATGAGATGATTCTGCGTTATACACAGGTGCTTTTCTAGGATGGCTGCTATTTAGAAACTGATGCAATAGCTCAGACATTCAAGCCCAATTCTTTCCTGGCTCCAAGCACCTGTCTTGCCACCCCTGGGATGATGCTTCTATTTTCTTTCTGAGCCTCTGAACAGACATTTCATTGTGACATGGCCCCTTTCTTTGGAAACAAAGCTTTTCTGCTAATGCCCTGGTACTCCCAAGTGAAAGGCAGGATGTGTGCTGGGGAAGGGGCACAGCTCCACCTGACTTCCAGCCAATTTTTGTCTGTGCCTTGACTGGATCAGTTGGCTGAATGCTCACCTGCCCCAGATGGCTTCCCTAATGGTTCCATGGACCTTGGGGGTCTATCCAGTCTAGATTTTTCTTCTAATGAATCCAGGAGGCACACAGTAGTCATGCTTGAGAACTATGGCTCCAATATGGCTGTAAAGGCCTTTTCTACTAGAAAAGAAATTGTCTTACCCCATTTCTGAATTTCAAAGAGAAGCAGTTCCCATAAGAACCCTTACCACCAAAGAGGAAGTAATAGTACAACCTAGACAAGAGAGACACTAGGAGAAGGAGGGGGAAGCATCTACAACATGATGTCACTGACAACATTGGTGCCCCCAAAGTGGCACATGGGTCATCAAACCGCTTACCTGATGTCTGAAAAGGCACAACTGAGTTCTGACCAGAAACCACAAAGAATGGAATCATTGCAGATCCAGGAAAACAAAAAGAAAGGAATAGTCAGAGGGAGAGATACTAGGCTAGTATGTAGCAATACCTACTCAAGGACAAAATACTTATTTTCACTGTTGGGGCTGGCATTGGAGTAAGTTTTGGTGCTCCACAATTCAGGCCCTTCCTTCAGTGGGAACTCTTTAAGATTTTGGAACCAATGTGGATCTATGGCCAATGCAGGTTGAACTTAGTTTGATGTAGGCTGAATTGTATCTTTGATTGTGGACAGTCATTGTCTCTCAGCCTTAGCTTTCATCTTAAAAACTGGAATAAGGATGAATTTTTTACAGGGCGCAAAAAATTGCATTGCAATGCCCTTTGTACTAAAAGTGCTATCTAAGAGGTACTTAAGAGTAGCCAAAGAAACAGCCTTGCATACAGGTAGGATCATTCTCTAGCCCACACAGTAACTACTTAAATAACTGGAGTGTCATGAGATTAACTAGGGTGACTCTGCTGGAACTGGCAGGAGGCAGATCTTCAATCTGAACTAGATTATATTACTTAAAGAGATTAAAGGCCTACCCCCACTTTCCGTGCTTCTGGTGCACTGAAGAGGACTGTCTTAGTGGTTAACAAAGCACCTTTTGGCTTATGGGACATGAAGGATTCATCATGTGACAGATGAAAAACTCCCAAGCTACCAAATGGTCTCAGTGACATATCAATAGGTTAGAAAGAGTTGTTAGAAAGGGAATGTTGATAATCCTAGTATTTTGAAATACCACTTGTATTTGTAAACAGTTTTCTTCTGCAGGCTTCCCAAGTCTGTTTTAAAATTAAAATCCGTCTAGCACATCCTGATTCCTTTGCACTACTCTCTAGTTTTGGTCCCATCTTTTCCCTGTACACATGCACTATACAATATGCCAGAAATGTATCATGGAGAGCTCTCTAGATGTAACAGCAGATTGACATCATACTCTGCCCCAAATTGTGCCGATTCCTTTCCTTCCTACAGAGCACTGGCTCCCTACACTGTTCCTTTTGATCTCATCTGTGAAAACTCACTCCACAGGACGTACTTTTGAAGGAACAGACCTGGGCCCCCGACTTACCCAAAAAATGCTTTAAAAACACAACACGTTTAGCTGTGGGCACTGCAACCTTATGCACACAAAACTAAGATACAATCCTCATTGAACTCAGTGGGCCTTGCTTTTGAGCAAATATGTATACAGTTGGCCCTACCTTAAAGCTCTGCCTACAATAAACCTCTTCCTGTCAGACTGGATGTTGCATTAGAACCAGCATTCATCCAACCATGTCTGTGATGGGCCACCGGGCCTTCTTAGACCTTTGCCAGTACTTTAAGAAGGCCCCAATCCCCACCACCAAGCGCCAACCGTGCAATAGCTGCTGAGGAGGCAATAGTTGGACATTGCCAGGAGGTTCCACCTGTTCTGGAAGGAGCTAGGCAAGGCTCTTATTCATCTGCTAGAGGGAGGCGAAGCAGGGCAGCTGCTGGGCCTCAGCTGGAATGAAAGGTGGGGGAACCTGGAGGACATTTAAAAGCCTCAGAGATGGGGAAGTGGGGCAGTGGAAGTTCAGGAAACAGGCTGCCCTTGTTTCCTTGCCAGGGGCCATCTTCAGACTCCTTAAGCCCCACTCAGTGAAGCCAAAGAGGGAATAGTTTACCTGGCCTCCCTTCCTCCACACAAACACATTGAAGTCCTGGGCTTAAGTCTGCCAAGGCCAACAGTATGGAAGCCACGGACCCAAGGAGAGGAGGCCTACAGAAGGGCTGCACTTGCTGTTGAGAGCAACCTGGGGCATGGCAGAGGCTGGCCTGCTGAAGTAGAAGACCTGAAATAAAGTCATTCTTGCAGCAGACTAGAGGGGAGTCAGTGCCTTCTTTGACCCCTTAGCTATGGGTCCAGGGGAAATAGGGAGCACCCCCCCCTTCCCTGGGGTATGGCACAATGTGCCATGAGGCACATCATTTCTATAGTGGTTGACTTTTTCTTAACCCTCTCAGCAACCAGGTGGCATTCTTTAGGCTGAGAGACAATAACTTGAAAAGGCCACCCACTGAACTGCAGAGTGGGAGGCTGACCACACATACCTCACCCCCGAGCCAATGCCATGTCCAGCCTAATGGGCGAGGCATGCTTTATTTTTTAAATTCCACTATAAAAAAGAAAAGTTATCTGGATTTAAATGTCAAAACACACGCACTTGGAATGGCATATGCATATTTGAATGGCTGGCTTTCCCTGAAATTAATATAAAAGCAAAAGCTAGGAACTTATGAAACTGCCTTATACTAAGTCGAACCATTGACCTATTGAGCTTAGTATTCCGGAAACAGACTGGCAGCTGCTCTCCAGGAGTTCAGACAAGGCAAAGGGATGCCAGGGATTGAACCTGCGACCTTCTGCATGCAAAGCAGATGCTCTAAACACTGAGTGATTGCCCTTTCCTTACATCTTTTCTCAATTGTGGCTGCTTCTGTTTTATTGAGAAAGGGGGCTGGATCCAGCTATTTAAACATGCATGTGCTAGAAAACCTTTATTTTAAATTTGTTTACTGTTTTAACTTTTGAAAAAGGTAGGATAAAGCCCTTTTCTCCCATCAGGCATTTAGGGACTGAGGAAGATTAGGGTGGTTTTTGGTTTTTCTGGTTGCAGTTTTTTTTAATTTCATTACAATTTTGAAAGCATAACACTGCCTTTAATTTCTGCATCTTGATTGTTTTAATACCATGAGCAAGAAGGAGGGTTATCAATTAAGTGAATAATATTGACAACTGATGGTGCCAAGGATCTATTTTGCTATTTAAAGTTGGGTAATTTTTGGACCCAATTGTTTTAGGGGAATGTGTATATTGGCTCCAACAGACCTTTGGACCGCTGAAGATTGTATTTGAACATTTCTACTAGCTATGCAGAATCATAAGCTTTACTTTTGGCGGGGAGGCACTATTGAAATAAAAAATATTCAGTTGCTTTCACGTTTGTATCTCTGAAACGTCACAATTAACACAGATGCACATGTTCTACCATGCCTCCCTGTTACTTTTCCTAGGCAGTCTGCCCTCCTTACTTATAGGAAGTTACAACGATCAGAGATGGTGACAGAGGGTTTTATGTCCTTTACAATATAGTACCTGAAAAAAACAAAGGTGTGTGATCTGTACTCCAGTTCTGCCTCCTGTAATGCTACTGACAAGATGCTTCCATCCTTCGGGGGAGGTGTGGCTTACTACCATATTTAGCTAAAGTCCTGCACATTGTGTCTTTTATGATGATGTGAATAGTCAACATGAAATACTGGTATCTGAAATACTCCAGATTTCAAGATACCTCTTGTTTACCACAGAACTTTTGATCATGCAGTGGCCTTGCCTAGCCAGTTTCTTTGCCCTGAAGAGAAATCTTGTGAAAATAAAAGCATAGTTCAATTCATAGGCATGATTAGGTCTGAGGCTAAACAGGCTCTGAACTACTAAGTTAATTTACCAACAGCTCCAAATCAGACAACAGAAAGCAAGGAATAAGCTGCAAGAGGCTCTTTCTAACCAAATCCCTCAATCATCCAGTCCCTACTTCAGCCACAGAGAAAGCTAAGGGCTTAGTAGGTCCTTTTCACACATTGCAGAGTGGCAGACACATATTGCCACTGAAGCAATGCCCAGCAAGAAGCCATAGCCAATACTGGTTCAACTGTGTTGCCCTCACTTTACATTTCAGGTGTACTTTTAAAAGCTAGATTTATGTCTTTAAAAAACCCTGTAACATGTGAAATTGCCCATTACCCTACTTGTCAAGAACAGGCTTCTCTTTGTCCAACTGCACACTGTTGCTTCACTTGAGACAACTACCAAGAGCAGCCCATGCTTCATAGAGAACAGTCCTCACCTTCACAACATTGCCAAATATGTTCAGCGTGTCATCTTAATTTTTGTGCATTATTTTAAGGTTTATCTTTTTTTTTTCCTGAAGAAAAGCCCGAAGAGAAGCTGGTTTATGGATTCTATATTTAATGTTTGTGGACTAGTTGCTATTCTGCTGAGAGGCCCCTATGAACCCCCACAAGTTAAGGATACAGAGAGGAGAGAGATATGAAGCTTGGTACACCAGAGGGAAGGGTGGGTGGGGGGAGGGAAATGGAAATGGAGAAATCAGATGTTGCCTCATCTAGACAAAAAAAAAAAAGTGTTGAGTTTTGTTTGTTAGTTATTAGGAAGCAGGTGCTAGTTGTGTAGAAAAGCCCTTTATCCAGAAATCTCTTCCCGCTGCTCCTTGTTTCTGCGCACCTCAGCTGCGTGCAATTCCTGAAAGAGACAGAAATGAGATGCAGTGTGAAAAGTATCCATGACAGCTGATGCTTCCTTGCTGGTCTCAAGCAAATTTCAGTGGGACAAACTTGCTAGTCCGCTGCAGAAGAAACAGAGGTTTTTAGGCATCTTAAAGACTAAGGGTTATCCCCAACTAAGACCTGCTCAGACACACTGAAATCAATGGATTCCAGTAACTTGAGTCCTTTGAATTTAATGAGACTACTCTGAGTAAGACTTCATTGGCGATCACACTAAAGACCAAACAAGATCTACTAGTGTGAGCGCTGTGATCAGTTCTCCTTTGGTTTTTAAAAAGGCAAATGCCCTGGGAAATGGGGTGGTAGATCAGGGCTGTGGTACTAAGGGAAAGGGGCTTGACCCTTTCTCATGTGTATTTTCCCCATCAAAATCACTCATTGTCAAGGAGCTGCTCTGTGTTCCATCATAGAACCTGAATATTTTTCTCCATGGGAAGCAGCTTGGGGGCTGGGGGTGGTCTGTGTATTTGGATCAGGGAAATGGGGCTGGGGGTTGTAGCCTGAGGAAAGGACACAAGGGAGGCCCATCTACATCTAACCATTCCGCCATAGTACTGTAGTTGCATTTGCCCTTTAAACCTCCCCAGATCATTTATTTCATTTGTTTTGATTTCCCAAAGTTTATATATCATTTGATTATAATAAAACCTCAGAGCGGTCATGGGTCTCTAGCTGTCTCACCTACTTGCACCCTCAATCAACAACAACAACAACAATCTTTATTACGGTCCAGAGACCCAACAAAACATTACAAATCAATACACAGTTCATACAGCCTACCTCCAGGTTAATCAAGCATTTTGTTTAGAATATAGGGCTCATTTGTTCTTGCAACCACCGATAAAAACTTTGCCACTGCCAACGTTCTAGCTTTTGTCCGGTCTTTCAGTAGGAACCTGACATAGTGAGCCTCTGATTTTCCCGGGAAAGGGACCAGCAAGGGTAGTATCAGTTCAGCCCTGGCCTGCTCATACTTTGCACAATGCAACAAAATATGATTTATGGAATCAATGTCTTGAGCACACGAGCAAAGTCGGTCCTGGTAGGGAACTCCTCTCAACCTACCATCCAGCACTGCAGAGGGGAAGACATTTAGTCTGGCTTTGGTGAAAAGCCTTCGATAGTTAGGTACTGTCAGGTTTTTGATGTAAGATGTTAACTCAAAGACATACCCATATTGAACTCCTACTGCCAGCGGACTACAGACTGTGTGTGATCGAGATCGCAAGTCACTGTGTGCATTGTCCCATAATCTTTGCTTTAAAGATTAAAGAAGGCGCTTTTGGGCGCCTTCGTAACCCAGGTAATACAGTTGGGGGGGAGACAGACCAATAGAGGTGGCTTTTTAGCCATGGTTTTCTGCCATTTGCTGACAAATTCCTCATTGGTCAAATGTTGGTACAGACCCTTCTCTAGATTAAAACTGAAATCCTGAGCCAATGTTTTAGGGCAGCCCACCACGCTCTAGCTGAAATTGGGCATTCACCAGATTCCAACAGAAGTACGGAGTTGGGGACGCAATTAGGTACCTGCAGCAGAGATCGTATAAATTTTGCCTGAAAGCCATCTAGCTTTGGCAGGTCCCCATTATGCCAGACATTTGCTGCATACAGGAGTTGGGAAACGGGCTTTGTGCACCCTCAATCTAATGTATGAGACTATTAAATTTTTTCTCAACATGCAACAGCTGCAGCAAAAAGTAGAGTTCATTTTGTTAACACAGTCTTTAAGGTGCCTTTGAATGGAACAAAGGGGCTCCACAGAGGAGGCTCATGGTCCCTGGAATCACCTGTGATATGAAACGAGCTGGGGCATGTTCTTCATATGAGAAATGATACTGGGAAGTGTGGGATTTGTTTGGTGTGAGCCTCTGGCACCTACCTTCTCACGGAGCCGCTCCCTCAAGGCAGCTAGATGAGCTTCACGGATCTCCTTGCTCAGCTCCATCTTGTAGTTGAGCTTCTCCTCAGCCAGCCGGCTGAAGTTGTTGTTCTCTTCTAAGGCCTTGTGCAGCACCTCCCTCTCATGCTCCCGCTTTTCCGCCAGCTGCTTCAGGACTTGAGCCTCCTGGCTCTACAACGCAACCAGCAAACCAGATTAGATGAAAAGGCTCCTGAATAGCCAACTGTCGGTCAATGTGCCTGTGCATCATCTTTTTGGGTGGAGTTTATCACAATGCCTGGCTACCCCATACCAGATAATATTGTACATGGTATCTATTACACATGTTCTTATTGCAGGAGTGGCTTAACCCCCAGAGGCTGCGTAACAATGTGGGTGTGATCACCACCACTGTGTACAGGACACACGAGTCCTGCTCCTCTGCTGATCTGTGTAGATCAGCTAAGGAGAGGGGGTTATCACCCCTTCTCTACACATTAAATGATGGTTCTGGTGTCTAGGAAGGGGGGAAATTGCACCCCCATGAAGGTGCTGGATTGAGTGGAGACTTTCAATCCTTCCTCCTTGTCTACTTTACTGTGTTCCTTTTCCCCACTGCTGCAAAAATTGGTGGGGTCCTGATAAGAGGTAGGGAATTTACTTGGAGGTTAGCTACTCTGCCCTGTCAGTTCCTCTGTTGCGTTCCCCTCCGCTCAGCTCCCTTGCATGTGTGGTGGAGCCTTTATAGGTTTATCCTGTTTCTCTAATAGCCTTTAAATAGTTTAAAACAGGGGTCAGTAAGGTTTATCTTGCCTGGACCAGATCAGTCCCGCGGAGATCCCTCTGTGGGCTGGATTGCACATGCACAAGTGCACACACCCGCGATTTCTGGCATCTGCACGTGCACAGATGCAATTTCCAGTTTCTGTGCATGCGCAGACACGATTTTTGGCGCCGCAGAAGCGAGTCTAGCGCAGGGGGGCAACTCAGTTCAGGGGCAGCTCATGGGCCGGTCAAACGACCTCCACGGGCCGCTTCTGGTCCATGGGCCTTAGGTTGCTGACCCCTGGTTTAAAACATCGGGTGTTTCAATGTTCATAATACCTGTGTTTACAATGCTGCATTAGCCAAATTTACACCTGCAAACCGGGTGGGTAGTGTTTGGAAATAAAACAGGTATCTGGAACTTTGCTCTCTATCCACTGAATTTATTTATATTACCATCTAGGATTTGTCAGTTTCTTAACATTACTAAGTTTTTTTTATTCCTTCTGGGTCAGCTAATCTTCCAGTTTGTTTCTTTGCACTAGATGTAATTTTACTCATGACCAGAGTGGAAATGAGAAAGGGATTGGGGTATGAATATTCAGTAATGATCTTTCCTATAAGCTGCAGCATTCACTAAGTGAAACACTTCAGTCACATAAGCCCTTAATGTTATTGATAATGCACTAGAATTATTTACGACTTGGTTAGTCTCCTTCAAGAGAGAGGGACAGGTCTTCATTTCTCCTCTGCTCACATACATTTTGGAAGACTCTGAACCACAGAATTGCAAGGATTTTCATAAGCCCTCAGCAGCACAGGATTTTAGCTCTAGTCAAAGTATTCTTAGAAGGCATTCTCTTCAATGGCACTTCAATGGCTATTCCTTGACAATCCCATTACCTTCCTCCTCTCTTCTGCAGCCTCCAGCCTCTTCTGCAGCTCTTCCAGGGACAGGTCCCTCTTCTTGGGGGGAGAGGAGAGGACTGGGCTCTCAGGGGACAAATCAGAAGGTGACTTCAGAATCACTTCAAAGCTCTGGCCAGAAGCCCTCTTGTCCAGCTGCTTGACCTCCATATCTGAGCAAGAAGAAGACAGGTACCAAAAGGATGGAGGGGTGTGAACTGTAGTGTCAAGTAAGGTCCTAGCAGCTTAGGCCCTGACTATCTGAAAGACTGCCTCCTCCTCCTTTGCAGATCCTCTCAGGTTTCAAGATCAGCAGAGGGAGCCATCTTGATATTCTGAGGGTTGCGGCCCAGGAAAGAGCATTCTGTGTGCCAGCTCTTAAGCTGTGGCATTTCCTCTTCAGAGGTGCATCTGGCACCTTCATTGCATACCTTTTGCCATGCTGAAAATGCACCTCTTTACCCTAGACTTTGACACATGAGATATGCAGATATATTTTAGAATCCACCCTAGTCTTTGGGTTGTAAATTGTTTTAACTGACTTCAATATTGCGTTTTAACTTATTGTAACCCACCCTGGAACCTTATGGAGAAAGGCAGGTAAGAAATCAATCAATCAATCAATCAATCAATCAATCAAATAAATAAATAAATAAATAAATGTGCTGTGTCATAACTTTTTCTTCATTGTAGCTGGAGCAGTTCTAATGGTCTCTCAAATACTCTTTCCACATGTATGGATCTTTAGGATTTACGAAAGTGCAGAGTCCTCCTTAAGTATTAAGGCTGGTTGCAACTAATCCTGCATAGCTGGTTCAGTTCTGCATGCTAATGGTACATATGCTCTGCAACCAGTGAAAGTTATCAGCTAAGGTGAGTGTTGTGCAGCAGCTGTGGCTTCAGACTATGCCACCAATGCCAATCATGATATATCATCCTCTGCAGTGGGCTAGCAACTCTTGGGGAATGAACGAGACCCTGCATTGCTTGCAGGTATTAGGCATGCTGAACTCTGCAGGGGAAGGAAAGAAAGCAGGGCAGCAAGAGAGGAGACTTCCAAGGTGCAATAGGAATTTGAAGTTCATGAAGAACTGACCCAATCTCTTCAAAAGATAGCTTGTGCTCTCTCTGAGACTTACTGATAGAAATGCCATGGATCAATATATTGTTCTTAGTGCACCCTTGAGGTCTGCTTCCCTTTTTCCTATCACAAAACAGGCTGTCTGACACTAAAAAAAACCTTGCAATATGATTCTATGGAATTTCGAATACAGTAATAAAATAGCACACCTCCACAGTATACCAAGGCTGCAATCTTGAGCACAGTTGGGACACTAAATTCCCACCAGCTTCAGTAGGATTTAAGCAGACAAATGCTTGAATCACATGTGCATGTACATCACTGGATTACTCACTGCTTGATGACTTGCAACTGAATGTGCGAAATGACTTGCTTTGTTTACTTATTCTATTTATATCACATCTTTCTCAACAGAAAAACTAAAAAATAATAATCAAAAGAATCTAGAAGAAAAAGTGGGTCAAAGTAGGCTTGTGAAAGGAGCTTTGTTTCCTCTCCCTCTCTGTTTGCTATACTTCAGAATGGCGGCCTTCTAATGGAATTGGAGCAGAGTGGGAACTTGTGGGCAGTTGTCTGGCAGGCCCCTGGAACCGCCTTGCTATCCCTTTATCTCCTGTAGAATGGCCAGCCATGTCTTAATTTAACACACATACTCCATATTACGGGAAGCGGGTGGTGCTGTGGGTTAAACCACAGAGCCTAGGACTTGCTGTTCAGAAGGTCGGCAGTTCAAATCTCCGCAACGGGGTGAGCTCCCATTGCTCAGTCCCTGCTCATGCCAACCTAGCAGTTCGAAAGCACGTCAAAGTGCAAGTAGATAAATAGATAAATAGATAAATCTGGCGGGAAGGTAAACGGCGTTTCCGTGCACTGATCTGGTTCGCCAGAAGCGGCTTAGTCATGCTGGCCACATGACCCAGAAGCTGTACGCCGGGGCTCCCTCGGCCAATAAAGCGAGATGAGCAACGCAACCCCAGAGTCGGTCATAACTGGACCTAATGGTCAGGGGTCCCTTTACTCCATATATTACATGCCCATTCAACCACTTCTGAGTGAAGAACTGGCACTTTTATGAGTAGTGCTCATTCTGCACTTGTAAGGAATTGATCTTTTAGTGTGGCAGCAGTTACCCTCTGGAACTCCCTGGTCATTGACATTAGGCAGGTACCTTCGCAGTACAGCTTTCAGCATCTGTAAGCCTACCCAGATATGAAAAGCTGGACATCTATTTAAATACATAATTTTATTTTATAACCTACAACTTTAGCTGCTGATTCTATTTGTATTTTTTTTTTTTTTTAGGTTAACTTGTTTTTAACCCTGACTTTTAGTGATCAGTCAGGTCAGCAGTATGAGATACTTACCTCCATATTGGTATATGGTATTTGGGTGTGGCTGGGTGTGGAAACAGGAACAGATCAATGAAAGCAGAGAGAGTTCCTTCATTTTCTCTTTGTACGCTAGAAAGACAAAACAAAAAAACAACAGTGAGCAAAGTTCTAATGGCAGCCATTTGCTATTTTCAGAGGACATGGAGTAAAATGTTGACCCACGCCACAAGCCTGGGCTGTTCTTTAGAGCTATTTCCAGAGTCTCAAAAGGAGAAAACCAAGAGTGTTTGGACACTTCCACCATAAAGCAAAATGGTAAAAGTAGCTTTCATAGGTAAGAAGAGAGTGATCATTTGAATGCCTCACATGCATCTTTGAGCAGAGTTCTCAAACAGCTACATTCTCTCGTGCCTACAAGAAAATACCTTGTAGTTAGAAAAATAGATGGGTTGTATCCAACTAACTTTTACTCAGTGCTGACCCACTGAAATGAAAAGATCAAAGATAGTCATGTCCATTCATTGTGGATGCAACCCAATGACTCTTCTATTCATTTCCATGGGGCATCTGCATGGGAAATTCATTGTGGATTGTGCCCCTGGGTATTCATCTCCTTGCTCAGGTAGGCTGTTTTTCTCTTTACTAGAAGCAGCTTTCTTTCTGTCCATTTCAAAAAAACCTGTGTTGTCCTATCCAGGGCAATCCACTCCTCCCCTCTCCCATTTTCTAATTCCTCAGACAAATCTGATAGCAATTAAAGGTGCACTGTGGAACACAAACATGAAGCAAATATGCAGGCCATTGAGAAACATCTGGCTGATGTAACAGGATGAGTTTTCTGCTTCATCAACTCAGACCCAGGGATCAGGGCAGCATCACAGTCAGCCACTTCCCAGGCTGAATAGTATTTCTTCTTGGGTGAGTAGTTTACCAAAGTCTTCAGACAAACTGCTATCTGACCCATGCAGTGGGATTCCTCTGGTACTTCTCTCCAGCATTAGGCTAGTGGTCTGTTGTTTACCCTTCCTCATAACTCAAAAACAAGGAAGAGTAAAATGGAAAGAAATGGGCACCAGAAAGAGAACAGCCAAAATGAGCTAGTCAATGGACAGACAGTTGAATTATGAATTAGTTCTAAATTGCTTTTGCTGAGTGCATGTCTGGGTCCTATACTACTCTTATAACATCTGTTGAAGAGGAGTCCTAATTGGGCAACTTTCCACTTTGCTCCTGACTTAGTGTTTATTGACACTGCCAGTTGCCAACCCTTTCACATTGGCATTAGTGTAACAACATGAGGTCCAGCCGTATGGAAGCGGCTCCTGTATCCTTGAGGTAATAATAAAAAAAAAAGTTTGTGGTCCAGGGAAGTAGGCCCAAGTCTGGCCCAAGTCATTTTTTGGTTCTGGACAAGTTACTTTCTATTCTGTAAAATGGGAATGTCAGTGACTTACTTTGTGCGGACAGGGAGGGGATTGGAAGTTTAAGATTGCTTTATCTTTGCAAAAGCAGCAAAGTTATAAAACAATAAGCAAAAGGATATTTTCAGACAGAAAACTGCAACATATAGAGTTCAATGTCATAGAGTATGAATGGCAATCTTATGAATGGCGTTCATAACAGCGATTCTACATAACCATAATTAGTGGTGAATAGTCTCTTTAGTAATCAAGTAGCAAGATCATCTGGGGATCTCATGTCTCTCAGCCTCTATCTACCAAAAGCTGTCAGTAAACCAGAGCACCTGCTGACTGCATCTCATTGTATTAACAGAAGTAAGATAACTATAGTGAGATGCTGGCAGCCAGTGCTCTAGTTGCTAAGTCTCATAGATAAGGCATTCTGGATAAGTTAATTAACCTAAATAATATATATTCTGTATTCTGAAATCTTGTTCTGAATTGCTTAAAAATTATCAAGGGGAGCCCCCGTGAGAAGTCAGGAAGTTGCAAATTTAACAAGATATTCAAATGTACTTACTTGTATGACAAATGTAGAAAACATACAAAATCCAAAAATTGCTTTTAGTGTTTGGCTCATCTCTAAAGAGTGTTCTTGGCTGGACACAGCACTGCCATGTGTGACCAGCAAACCAATTCCATCAGTTTCCCTGCTTCTTTTGTTTATTTTTGTGTAAGACACTAAGAAGAGCAAGTGAGTCAGTTGAATATGTATGTGTGTGTCACATGTGAATGTACATAAATTCAGGAAAGAATTCAAAAAAGACCCAAATGCACCTTATTGCCAATGTAGGTTTTAGGGGCCAACTTAACTCATCTGATTTAAGCTTCAGGTATGAAAAACAACTCAGCTGTCTGCCAGTTTACTTTTATGGCAGGCACAAGCAATGCATATCAAACCTGCATCTGCAGCTGGAGGCAATATATGAATAATGGATTTTTTAAAAAGCTGGGCTGAGCAACTGTCCCTGCCCCCTACAATCTCCATTTGGGTCTCGTATTTTAAAGGTCCTGCCAAATACTGCATAATCTCAGCTGCTGTGTCTTCTTGCTTGCAAGCCCAATGCTGGGGCATCTTTCCGTCTCAGCCCCAGCCTGTCCCCAATTTTGTCTTTTGTACTCTCCTCCTGTCATGTAGTGAAGCCCCCATCCCCTTCATCAATTAAGATAAAAGTGGGAGGAAGACAAATGCATCCCAGCTGCTGTCAGCAGCCTAATGAGATGAGGAAAGCAGGATGTGTACATCTCCTGGCATTTCAGACTCTCTAACTCCATCTTGGCGCCAGCGATCAGCAGCAATTAGCTGATTCCAGTCAACACAAATTGAGGGAGGGGAGGAACCCTTCTCTTGGCTGTGGATGTACTGGAGAGTCAGGGAGAAGCCACAGGGGAAGAAATTTGGAGGAGCTTTTGCTCCGAACTCAACCCCTTGCAATTAAATGAAGTTTTAGCTGAGTCTTCCAGCTGGAGCCATGTTTTGTCACAAGGCAGCTTTGGGAAATGCAAAGAGAGAGGCTGTCCTTGCTCAGGGCTGCTTTCCCAGAGCCAACCTGGCCTTCCCCCATCTCTGCAGGCACAGAGTCCCTGCACAAAACCCCTTTGGTCTGCCATCCACTTCCCTTCTGATTCGCAAGCAGAGCTCAAGGCTGAAGGTGAAGGAGCTGTTCTTCCAGCACCACTTCTGGCTGAGTCAGCTGCCACACAAGGCCGACAAAGGGCCACACTTAATGAGTTTCTACCACAGATGGGAATAATTTCCATGTAAGAAACGTCAAATCACTTGCATATGCATTGTTATGTGTGTTTATTTTGCAGCTTGTACTGTCTGGATTCACTCAGTGTTAACTTTGGCTGAAACGTAGCTCACTTTGGCTTTAATGAATTTGTATGCCACATTAACAAAAGTCACACACAAGGCACAAACAGCAGGAGAGCTGCTCAGTGGCCATGAAGGTCCACTAGAGCTTCATGTGAGAAGACACACCTCTTCTCTTTAGCCTTGATTTAGCACTTGCACTATCCCCCTCCCCTGAAATGAAAAACAACAACTAAAGTTGCAATCTCATATACGCCTTACTTAAAAATAAGACCCAGTGAAATAAGTGGGACTTATTACATTTGAGTAAACATGCATAGGACTGAGCTGCATGTTTCCCTGCTTTTAAATTTTGAAATGCTCTCATAAGCCTACCATAATTTATCCACCCAACAATCTTTTTCCCCTCACATTTTATGACATTCTGCCTTTTAACAACTCTCTGGAAGTTTAGAGTATTGTACTCTTTAGCCACCTTGTTCAGGAAAACAGTAAATAAAGTGTTTCAATGAGAAACTCATCGTATTAAGAGATCTTGTGAATGGTCACTGGGACAAAATATTATTCAAAAGGGTATTTGAAAAAACCTCGAGCATATTGTCAAATCCCAGACAAAATCCCAATCAATAAAAAAATAAAAGTAGCTCCCTTAGTGTTTGGTTTTCTTTGTTTCAAAGTGGTTGGCTACTGACTCACTACATTGCCCAAATGGAGTTTCCCTGCAGCAAGATGCCCTAAAATCTAGTTAGTCCTGTAATGTACAATTTTGTGACAAGATCTGTAGTCACCACTTAAGGGACAGTCTGACCTGTAATTTAGAAGCTGCTCTGAGTGGCTGGGGTAACCCAGTCAGATGGGTGTGTGTGGGTGTGTATATATATATATATATGTTGTTGTTACTATATACAGTGGTATCTTGGTATTAAGAACACAGCAAACCCGGAAGTAGGTGTTTTGGTTTGTGAACTTTGCCTTGGAAGCAGAACATGTTGAGTGTGTTCCATTTGTAAATTGAGTCCCCTGCTGCTATGGGAAAGCACGCCTTGGTTTAAGAACGCTTTGGTTTAAGAACCGACTTCTGGAACGGATTAATTTCGTAAACCAAGGTACCACTGTAATTATTATTATTATTAGGCAATCCAAGCCAAGCCAAGTTGCTTTGGAGGTTGTTAGGACCTAAATCCACTGATGAGTTGGTTTGGAGCTTTGCTCCCTTCCGAATCTACAATTCTATGATCACCACTCCCTAAATAACATTGATCTTCACAATCATCCTCTAATGCAAGCCAATATTAGTACCATTTTACAGAGGTGCAAACTGAGGCTATTTGCAACTTGCTCAAAGCCACCCAGGGAAGCTAAATCGGAGCTGGCATCAGAGTCCAGTTCTCCAGGCTCTGAGCAAGACCTTGTTCAACAAGCTACCTTTGCTCTTGCCTTCCTTTGTAGAAGTGGGGTGATTGGAATGCTGTGAACAGGCTATGCTTGCCCCAGGGATGATACAGGTCAACATAATGTGTGGGGAAGTACACAGGAGCCTGATGGAAAACTTAGTGTGCTGATTCTTTGAGTGATGTAGCCATCTCCAGGATTTGCAGCATTGCAAGGTCAGCTGCCTAAGTTCTGATAATCCTCTGGGGGCATAACTGAAGGCAACAAAGCTCCAGTTCAGAAGCACTTATAGATTTATAGATCAAAAAGTCAATAATGCATAAATGGGGGTGGGGGCGAGAGGACAGGAACAAGGGAGGAACGTGAGCATATGAATAGTGATCCCCAAGGGAAAACACACACATCGCTTTGGAGTCCTTGTATGATCAAGGTAGAACAACGTAAGAACTATGCTGGCTCTATAATGGGAAATGCATTAATCGTTACTTGAAGAGATCTATCAAAGTCATCTCAAGGGGGAACTAGTCAATAGTTCACTTTTCCTTTAGACAGATGGACACAGTAAAGGCCATCCAGGAAGCTTCTCTGACCTTGCTATTGATTTTCTTTGTAAACCACACAGCTTTGCTGCCTCACTAAGATGCCAATGGGGCAAACTGCTGCAAATGTCTGACTGGTGCAAACTAGCAAAGTGTTCCATGTGCACAGATGCAGAAGATGTGTTGCTTGGTCCTTCAAGATGCTGGGCAATGTACTTGCTCAGTTTCCAGCTGTTTCAGTCCAAAGAGGCCTCCTTCATATTTCTTCAGGGTCCTATATATTGCTCCTGCAGCTACTGATGCATTATGAAAACACAGATAATGGATTAGAATCATTTAGCAAACTGTGTAATAAGTAGGAGCCCAAAGTGCTGGATAGACTACCTGGGGAACCTGTACTTCATCCACGTTATTGGGACCCATACTACTGGGGAAGAAGGTCCTATTGGCATAAAGGCCCATCCAAACATTTTATATTTTAATTATGAGCAGCTGCCAAACTCCTTCAGATGTAGAGCCCAGACAGCTGCATGGGTTACCTGCACAAAAGGTCATGTGTATTTTGTGAATATATGAAACTGATCCATGAACTCTTAACTCTGATGAAATTCTAGCTTTCTGAGAACCACGACTATCATATTAAAAAATAAAACAAGTTTCTGGCTATGATTACTACAGAGAAAACCTGGATGGTGTGTGAACAATGCCTGGTAAAATTTCAAAACTTAGAAGGGGTCTGGAACAGCCTCCCAGTGCTGGCACAGCACACTTTTCTGTCCCCACAGCTTCTGTTCCTTAGTTCCTGCCGTCCATCTGGCTCAATCGCCAGGCCTCCTCATCCTTCCATTTCTTCAGTCATTGTCAAGCCTTTCAAGAGCCTTTGCTAACTTGGATATTATAAACAGAATTATGCAAAACAAGCAAACAAACACATAATTTCATTCTGTCACAGAACAGAGAATGCCTTTTTTTGTCTGTAGCAAAAGACCCATCTGGTATATAAAAAGAACATACTAAGGTTCCAAGCTGATAGAGATGACTTAGTTCATAGAACTGTAGAGTTGGAAGGGACCGTGAGAGTCATCTAGTCCAAACCCCTTTTGCTCCACATGGGGCTCGAACCCATGACCCTGGGATTAAGATTTTCATGTTCTACCAACTGAGCTATCCCTTCACTCTCAGCCTCTATGTGGCCTTGGTAGAACACCTCCATCTGTGTGCTTTTGTTTCTGTATCATTCCACTTTAAACAATCTATTTAAATTCTTCTAATTCTTTTAGTTCAATAACTACTTTTTTTAGCATTAGGAGCAGACTACATGCCAGCTGGGGCTGACAGATCAAGGTGTGTACAAGGAAGTTGAACAAACCTTGCAGGGGGAAGTGTCTTTGCAAAGTCCAATGAAAAATGTGCTTCTTCAAAGAAAGAGAATGTCAACAATGAGTAATAGAAGAATGATTTTCATTTGAAATTTAAGCCAAAGGCTATATTGAATTTGCTCAGAACAAAGATAACTGTATTTGTAACTAAACCCACTGACAAAAACCAAAGCATAAACTCAGAATACAGGGGCAAAGATATTCCAGACTTTCAGTTAAGGTAAAAAAAATAGATCCAGTTCAACAAAACTAGTGTTTAGTAGACAGTACAGACATGTTCAGACTTCTTCCATAGTTTCCTTTTGTGTGAGATTGTTATAATAAGCTTGTAATAATCAGTGGCTCTTTTAGCCAAAGCCATGCTTAAAACATTTCACCTGTAGAATATTATGGTAGCTCTCTATTAAGGACACATTGGCCATGATTGTGTGACTTATCTTTATCAGCTACAATCTAGGTCAGGTGATTTGGAAACTGAATGATCTGGATTTTTTATTGCCAGGATTGTACTAAGAACTGGAAATTTGAATGATTCTCCCAAGAAATCTTATCACAAAAGAAACTCAGCTTATGTGGAATCAAATGCAGGGCCCCCATCTTGATGGATGAGGTGCACCCCCAATATACAGAAACACCTCCCAGACATATTCTGCTCTTCAACAGACACGACAGGCACAGATCCAACTGTTCTCCAATATCACTGCTGAAGAGATGGTGCCAGTGGACAGCAACCCATTCCCAGGACTGCCAGGAATGGTCCGAGTTGTCCACTCAATGCAGGGTCAAACCTCACTGCAGAAAGCGTACTATTTGTATGGATTTCATACAGTAATCAGTACATTTCTGAGGATGTCTTTGCCTGTCAAGGAGTGTTCCAAAAATCTCTGGGGACAGAAGGCAACATTGAAAGGTGGTATGTGTTGAAGGCTCATGCATACTAACTAGGACCTTGAGCTGTATTGCTCACCCCCTGCTGAAACACAAAGCAAAACAGAACCATAGTCATGCAGGAGTGGGGGAAGATGAAAATATAGAGTTGGGTGAATTTATCAAATAAAGAAAAAAGGAAAGGAAAGGAAGAGAAATGACATCATCATTTAACTGATAGATACACACCATGTCCCAAGTGAGCTTGCAAAATAACTAGATATAAAGGAGGGCAGTATTCTTGCACTTTGAATAGTTATGAAGAAAGAGAACTTTTAGCAAGCACAGCTTGTCATACAGGGTGAGAAATCTGCACCTTCCAGATTCTAAAAACAGACGCATCCCAATCCTAATGCTTGAGAGTCTTTAAGTTTAAATTGTGATTTTCTGCACGGAAAACATTTTACAGTGTACAGTTTACAGGCCACCCTACAACCAAAGTTCTCTGGCTAGCTTAAATGGATTAAAACCAGCAAGTTCAATAAAACAACAGATACAGCTAAGACACAACATAAAATTATTTTAAAACACTGAACTTTGCAGCGGTGTATCAGTTCAAAACTGAGGGCGGGGGAATAAAATCCTAGAACAGTATTAAACTATAACTTGGTATAAAAGACCTGGGGGAAAGTAAAAACGTAGTATTTGCCTGCTGCCAGCAGGATACTGAAATAGGTGCCAGGTGAGCCAGGGATGGGGAGGACCTTTCACTATAGAATAGGCCCATTCTCTCATAGCCACCTGATATACCTTGTGTTGTCCCAAAGGGCCTGAGATGACAACATAGGATCATGCAGGGCTTTAAAGAGAAAAACGCACTTTGAATTGAACAAGTAACCAGTGAAGTTGAAAATGCCCCTCCCAGTTAGTATTTGAGCAGCCATATTTTGCATCACGTGAAGTTTCCGGAACATTTGCAGAGACGTCCATGTGCAATGCATTGCAGTAATCCAAACAGGAATTTATTAAGGCATCCATGATATCTCTGTCCAGTTTTTGTAAGGGTGGACACACTAAAACTAAGGTGGGCACATTGAGATTAAGGTAGGCACTAAAAGTATTATTTCCTAACCAGAAGATCAGTGCCTGAAGGGTATGTGATTTAAATCAAAGGACATGGGTAGGATCTACTTGGGAGAACATATGAAGAGCTTGTCAGATCAGGCCAAAGGCCCATCTACACCAGCATCCTGTTTTAACAAGTCAAATGATAAAATGCGTAGAAGAAGGACCTGAGCACAACAGTACTCCCCTACCAGCAATTCCAAGCAGGTTTCATAAATTTTTTAAGTCCTGCAAGCTGGCAGTCATCACTACCTCTTTTAGGAGTTAATTTCATAGTTTAGCTACGCACTGTGTGAATAAGTACTTCCTTTTATATGACCTGAATCTTCCAACATTCAGCTTCATTAGATTTGCATGGATTTTAGCATTATAAAACAAGGGACGAAAGCTCTGTATTTACTTTCTTCACATTGTGCATAAACTTATACAGCTCTGTTATATGTCCCCCTTCTCCACTTGTGATTTTTCTAACTTAAAAAGCCATATTGTAACCTTTCCTTATAGAGGAGTCTCTCTAGCCCCTTGATAATTTTGGCTGCACCCCCTTTTTTATACATTTTCCAGCTCCACAATATTCTTTTTTAGGCGAAACAAACAGAACTGTATAAAGTACTTCAAGTGTGGTTGCATCATAGATACCCAGATATGGAAAGGGACAGAAATAAATCATTATCTGGAACTCATTTGCCAGGGATCAAGATGCAGGGAGGACTGAAGAATTCCAGTGGTTTCTGAAAAAATCTTTCAGCATGATTCTGAAAGTACTTGTTAAGAATCGCATGTCAGAGGCAAAATCACAGCCAGTCAGTGCAGGGTATGTGCAGACTATCTGTTATTTAAATCCTGAATAATAATTCAATGCAGTACAGTGGTACCTTGGGTTACATAGGCTTCAGGTTACATACGCTTCAGGTTACAGACTCTGCTAACCTAGAAATAGTGCTTCAGGTTAAGAACTTTGCTTCAGGATAAGAACAGAAATCGTGCTCCGGCGGCAGCAGGAGGCCCCATTAGCTAAAGTGGTGCTTCAGGTTAAGAACAGTTTCAGGTTAAGAACAGACCTCTGGAACGAATTAAGTACTTAACCCGAGGTACCACTGTATAAACAAATACCTGGCTGTTATAAACAATAGGTTGAACCGAGGTATTCATCACACACACACACACACACACACACACACACGTGCCTGATATGCCATGTCCACTATGGCTCCTCCTAGTCTCTCCTACCTTCTGAATATAACCAGAGAAGCACTCTCTTTACACATTAGCACAGCAATTACTCATTAGGGAGCCAAGATGGTACTCTACAGATGTTGCTGGATTCCAGCTTGCATTACCCCTGACTGCTGACCATGCTGTCTGGGACTGGCGGAGTCCAACAACAACATTTGGAAGGAACCACTTTGGCTGCCCTGGTTTAAATATATTAAGAAATCAATGCTTGATGTTTTGGGGTACAGGAAGGAGCCCAATCTAACGGTTCCCTTTTCCTTCCTTCTCAACCTCTCCAACAACAGTTTTTCATTCTACATTCAACATTGGCTCTAATTAACAGAAAAGTGTCATCCTTAAGTCTGGAAACACATAAGATAGTGAACCAGCTCCCCTTATATTGTGTTCCAATGAGGAATGGCAAAGAAAAACTTATACAACTGAGGGTATTTATTTGGGGTCGTTGTCCCCCTTCTCCACACAGCATATATCGTGGCCAAAAAGCTTATTCATCCTCTCTGTATAAAAACTCAGCATTTACTTGCATTAGGGTTGCCATACTTCAAAAAGTAAAAACCAGGACACCCTAACTTGGCAGCCCTAACTTGCATGGACCTGTCTCTTGAATTCCTCAACCAGCTGCTGGTCTGTAGCCACAGGAAGGGGACCAGCGACTGCTAAACATACTATGTATTCCATGGATGGGCTGACCAGAACAAGAGGCATGCATTCACTACACAATAAAAGTCCCATGGGATTTTCAACATATGGTACCAAATTAATTGATAATTCTCAGAGAAGGTCACAGCTATTAATTCCCATCCAAGTACTGAGGGGATCTGCGTGTACCATAGGTGAACATAGTGTTGTGTGGCTTTCTGCTTTCAGTTGGGGGAGAATGTTCAAGAAGCCGTGGCCTTGTTGAGCCAAGGGACTGTCTGGGGCTAAAAGCAAGATGTTTGCCTGAGCAGAATCCTTTGGCACAACTCAGCCGCCACTGCAGCTGAGCCTGCACTGAGCATGTGCTGTTGCTTCCCCCGCTTGCTAAGTAGAAGTGATACTATTCTGGCGAACGGAATATACTTGGGAAGCAAGAGGGACCAAGGCACAGAGAACCCGCTCCTCTTCCAGCTGTGGAAGAGGATATACAGAAATCTCTTGAGGCACACATAAAAATACAGCTGCCCTCCTTATCTTTCTTCAAGTGTGTTCTGCTTTTATGAAACAGGGTGGAGCAACCAGGCAAGATGAAAAGAGAGGGGACAGGCAGTGATAAAATCTCACCTCTCAGCTCTATGGTTTGCATGTCTGCAAACAGGGATAACAAGCTGCCTCAAGTTCTGGTCCACCCTTCTCTTTGTCTTCTGCAAACACCTTTCTTCTTTCATCTCCTTGTTTTGATCACACTCCTGTCACCCCAGAACCTCTGTTCTTTGACATCAGTCTTATGCCAAACCTAATCCAATTGGAACGGGAAAAGGATCGGAAATAGACCTCCGAGGCAAACTGCTCAGCTTTAAAAGCTGCGTCCCACTGTCAGGAAATTAAAATGTATGGTTGGGGTGGGAAGGAAAGGGAGAAAGTACCATATTGTTTCAGAGCACCATATGGGGAAGGCACCTGGTACCCAGACATGTCATTCCCCCTCCCAACTCCTTCACAGCAGGGTTCTTTCAGCCTTGAGAACCCTGACCAACCCTGACATTGTCATTTATTTAATTTGCACTGATTCTGCAATAAAATAATAGGAGAGGAAAACACCTATCTCCAAAAAAAAACACCATTCCTAGTTTTTGCTACCTCTGTCCTCCCATTCAAACACAATGCATTCCCTCCCCGCCCCCCAGCACAGATCAAACATATTCTTTGCAAAAGGTTTCTGGCAAATTTCTTATCTCATGCAAAGCTGGCTCTGCACATCCTCAGACAGGGGGACCCATCACATATACCTCCCCTTGTATTTTAAAAGGAAGCAGCTCAGAAAAGGAACCGCAGGCAACACAGGGATGGGCAAGCCCAGCGAGTACAGCTGGCAAGACAGAGCTTCTCCACAGCTAGGTTTTTTGTGTTTACGAAAGTACATACATACATTTTTCTTCCCCCCTTTCTCTCCATCTATAATGGCTTTCCTTCATTTTCATTTTTTTAAAATTCAGTAAATAAACATGACCTGTGCCTCAATTTATAAAAGGTTTAAAGACCAGTAGTGAGTGGACATCACAAGTCATCTATTGTCTATGTAAAGAGACAACACGCTTCTTCCCAGCCAAATTCCATATGCTTAGCCCCAGCCTTTTAAAAGAAAAAAAGGAGAAGATACATGTTTAGGAACTAGAAAGCAGGTGGATGCACACACAAGTGATGGACACACTGTGAGCTAAGCTGTGAGCTAAGACCTACCAGGCCTTGTAACCTGGGAGGGCAACAGGGTGCAGCTATGCAGTGGTGTCACAGCCGCTGCAGGAAAGGATTGTCTAACAGCATTGGGTTTCATTCAGCGCCATGGGCGGACCACTCCCTCTACAGCAGCTGCTGGCTAAACAACCTGCCCTGATTCTACTAACCCAGATGTACAATTATTATTATTTAAATGTCTTTGCCTCTTTGTTCTTTTTATCCCCTTCCTTTCTACCATTGCCAATCTACTTTTACAGAAACTGGGTTTTAAAAATTAGGCAAAACACAACCACTCAGGTAAATGGATTTTTAACCGTATGCATCACAGAAAAAGAGATGATTTGATAACATGTATCAAAGCTTGGAAATACACAATTCTGAAAGCAAGAGAAGACAATGATGCCTGCCCGTCTACCATCTGTATAGCATTGCAGACAAGCCCCACCTTGAAAAGAAGAATGGAGAATAACACTGATCATTGCAGATGGGTTCCTTCTCAATGATGCAGCTGCATATAAAGAGGGGGGAAAACCCCTTGCTTGTTTTACCTGAGACAGTGCTGGCCATGATGGTGAGATGGGTAGTGGAGAGGATGCTGCAAGGGAAGATGCAGAGGCAGAGAGGCAGGAGACTGGCTTTTCTGCTGAAGTGCTGCAATGCTGTGGAAGAGAGGAAGGTCTGACTCAGCTCTAGGGGGCTGTGGCTATCCAAGAAGGGAGGAGAGAAAGAGAAGGAGAGGGGGAGAGGGAGAGAGGCGAAAGAAAGAAAAGGAGAAAGGGCTTGAAATACAGAAAATGACTTCCCAGTTCAGAATATCAATGGGCCTCGGAGGGTAGCTTTTGATACCCAATTCTTTTACAATGTCGGGAGTCTGAGAAGAAACGCAGAGCCTGTTAGCAAAGGGGATAGTTAGCAGACACGCCCAAACTGGAGATTTACCTCCTCCCTTCTCTTGTCTGACATGTATAGTCTAGAAATCAGCTGTTTCGTTTTATGTTAGGGAGTTGAAAACAAAATGTGAAAATGCAGAGTGAACCGAATTTAAGAGATAAAAAGCTTTGGGAAGCACAGCCATTCACAATTTCGCAGATCTATTTGAAGAATGTGTCTGGAATTCAAGTTAACCTAGCACGAAAATACCAGCTCCTATTCTCACCTAGGGTTGCCATTTCACAAGTCTAGTACTCCAGTTCACAACCTAGTTAAGCTACAGTACCTGAATTTAACCCCACTGGCGTCACATGATACGTTTCTTTACATTTATCACTGTTACATTTAAAACTATGTCCATAGCAGGATTGAAAGCCAAAAGCCAAATCAAGGAGTACTGTTTTTAAAATTAATGCATACTTCGCATAGTCTCAGATATGCAAATAAACATATTATCTTTCCCACCTTTCATAAGTCAAACATTTGGAAACATGCCATATATATGCCATATATATATATATATATATATATATATATACACACACACACACACACATACACACACACATATATCACTATATATCTAATCTCCATATATGTATATATATATATATATATATCCATATCCCTTTCTTCAAGTAGGTACAGTGAGGCATGAGGATTTTTTAAATAAGTCATGGCAGATCACCATCTTTTTAATTCCATCAAATGTATTAATTCTCATCTATCATCACATTAATCACCATGTTTTGATCAGCATTGCTTTCTGATAAGCCTAAGAATCAGGACAGCTGTGTTAGTAGCCCCAATTGTCGGCATCAGCCCCACTGCACCTGTGCTGAGGGAACGGCACTATTTGTTGTTCACCTATCAGGCTATGTGCAAGGCCTTGTTACTAACATATAAAGTGCTGAACAACTTGAGACCAGGTTACCTGAAAGACTGCCAGCCCCTGTATAGACCGGTTAGATTAGTCAGATAAATTTTACTCATAACACTGCACCTTAAAGAACATCACAGGGAAGTGACCGAAAACCCATTTCCCCAAAACCCATTTTCTACTATAGTGACCCTACACTATGAAATACCTTCCCACCCCCTGCCATATATGGAACATAATCTTATTAGCTGCTTCAGCCATCTTGGGAAGAGGACAACATATCTTTTTGCCTAGGATTTCTCTGACCCTATAAGATTGGACTCTTACTACTGCTGAATTCCTGCTTATACCTGTTGCTCTTTTTAATCAGTTTTATTTACTGGTTTGATGATACTTGGTTTTAGTGTTAATATTTACAAATCTTTAAGTGGTATAGGAAGTGATTTAGAAATGCTTAAAAATAAATAAATATAACAATAATCAGCACCCTTCATATTTTCTGAGGTTCAAAGCACATCACCACATGCACTATCTTGGCCATTTTTACAATCGCGCTGTAAGGCAGGTCCATATTCTCGCTATCACCATGTTGCAGAGTTGGGATTCAGTTTGAGACTTGCCTTAAGCCACTTTGGGAATTTACAGTTGATGTGATGTCTTCCTGACAGGCAGCTCATGCTCTAACCATGGCAGTGCCCCAGCTTTCAAAAACGAATTGGCTCTCATGTTTGAACGTGCCTGAAACATACATCAGGCTTGACTGGTGATACAATAATTTAGGATTCTGAAGAGCCAACAGACTGGAAATTAGTATCTCTATATTGCTGAGGTGATGTAGTCTGCATAAATGATATTATTTAATGGGCATACTTTAAGCAGCTTTCCGTAAGGAGAAAACTTCATGCCAAATAAACTGTTTGGCTTAGATGGAGTCATTATATATAAAACCGAGAAGCTGAAGGGCTATTGAAAACTTAGTCTGAATACTTGAAAGTCAGATAGTTCTGCAAAATCCCCAACCAATAGTACAAAACATGAAGTATTAGTATTATATTATGATTATTATTGTCCCGCCCCATCTGGCTGAAGTGAGTCTTCAATAAAATTGTCCTCAATGGAATTTCATTGGACCTTCAAACTGTCACATGGGTTCCAAGCACATAATCAGTAGAATGGAAATGTGGAAAGAGACCCGCCAAAAATTAACCAACAAACACAGAGTATTCTAAGAATGCACCTGAAGAACCAAAAACATTTTCCAAAGGTGAGTGAATGCCAAGTAGAAAGCTGATTCCCACAGCCAATCACAAGCAAACAATCACACCCTAGGCCAACCCCAACCTCTCTCACCACCAAAGGAACACAAGTGAACAACACAAGCAACGCTGACACCAAACTCTACATACATTAAACATAATAGAAACACCGCCACCCGACCCCACCCCATCCATCTTCCTTCTCTCCACCCCCCCTTTCTTTTTTCCTTTTTTTCTTCTCCCCCTAATGCCTCAACAAATGAAACGGATTTGTAAAAATGTTACACGAAAAAAAAAATACGAGGCATTACACTTACTTCTGTAAAACAAGAAAATCCTTAATAAAATATTTTTAAAAAAGTAGAAAGCTGATTCATAAAAGTTACTTGCTCAAAGGTACTTAGCAGACCAAAATTGGAATGAAAGTATAGTTATACGTCCTGACTCAATTGGCTGAAACTCAGAATAGGGTCATTTCACTTGTTACCACCATTGGCATTATTGGCATTGCAGAGCTCTGTAAAGACTTCCTGAATGTTGCAGAGAGATTAAAAAACAAAATATCCCCCTACCCTCAGGTTCACAGGCTAAAAGGCATAATACAAAAGGAAAAAAGAATGGGAAGGAAAGAAGCTATGGCAGGTTTGAATCTCTGGTCTGCTGTGAGGCATACCGTGTGACCTTGAGTCAGTTACAATTTCTCAGACTAACCTTTCTCCAAGAGTTGGTGTAAGAATAAAAGGGTGTGTGTGTGTGTGTGTGTGTGTGTGTGTGTGGTGAGATCAGGTGCACCATCTTGTCTTTTGTGGAGGAAAGGAAGGACACAAATGCAATAAATTAGATAAATAATACATAAATATCAGGAAAGATTAAAATGTGTCGTGGAAATTATTGGCTTTGTGGCATCTTCCAACTCTACCAGTTATATAAAAGCCAGCTACACTGAGTGGAGTGTTCTTTCCCATCTTGAAGGATTAATGCAACTCATCACTACGCATGGAGCATACAGTTTACACAGAGATGCAGTGTGTGCAATTGAGCCAAATCTACTCTCTGCTTCTTTTGAGCCAGTGTGGTGTAGTGGTTAAGAGCGGTAGACTCGTAATCTGGTGAACCGCTTTCGTTCCTCCACATGCAACCACGCCTCCACATGCAGCTACTGGGTGACCTTGGGCTAGTCACACTTCTCTGAAGTCTCTCAGCCCCACTCACCTCACAGAGTGTTTGTTGTGGGGGAGGAAGGGAAAGGAGAATGTTAGCTGCTTTGAGACTCCTTTGGGTAGTGATAAAGCGGGATATCAAATCCAAACTCTTCTTCTTCTTCTTCTTCTTCTTCTTCTTCTTCTTCTTCTTCTTTTGCACTTTGTTTTCTTCCTTGAGCTGTGCCTGGTAAAGGAGAATGTGTTCTCTTCCTGCTGCAGGGAAATGGACTTGGTTTCCCTGAAGGTAAGCCAGCTATGAAGGGATAGGCCAGAAATCTAGACTGCCCAGCTGCTTCCCTCTCTGCACAGTACAACCCTGCTGACAGGGATCTTGCAATTAATGAGCCACATAAAACATGGGAAGACACAAAAAGGAATGGATGCAGCATTTCGTGGACTTGAGAAAACCCTACAGTTTCCAGTTCTTTCCATTGCCTTGTTTTTTTAAAGGAGCAATCTGGGCTTAAATGCAAGTATTTGATGCATTCAAAACCTCCCTTTTTATTCAGGTAACTATCCCATATTTCGGATTATTCTCCCTACTGAAGGTTGCAATCCTAAACACAGAGAGACTTATTTGGACAGGATTGACCTGCAAGTATTATTGTGAAGGACATCTTAAGGGCAAACAAGGCAAAGCAGCATGCAGCATTTGGGGGGCTCTTGAGGAAGTGATTTAGAGAAAAACCTGTGATACTGCTATGCTAGAGTTGCAGTATTGGTAAACTAGGGCAAAGATACAATCCAATGAGAAGACAGAGAAGCGTCCAGCCAGAGCTGAGTCACATCAGAATCTATCTATAAAAATAAAGCAGTTCCTGACTCATTGTATTTGCTACTTGCATTTGGGAGCTGTCCAGGATTCCCTTTCCCTCACAGAATTTGCTTTCTTGATAATTACTGTAGAACTCACCCATGCTTGATATAATGAAATTCCCTGAAAGATGCAGTAAGATAAAAGGAACAAATATGAGCAATACGTCCTGGAAGTATCACTATAGCATGCTATATGGCAGGTGTGAAAGAGGCTTGGAAGCTTTTGAAACTGGCACCTCAGTTCTGCAGAAACATGTATCTAAGATGCAGAATTATTTGATAGGGCTGCAGTGTAGTCAAGTGGATAAAAGGTTTGCTCTGGAAGATGTGCCTTAAGACCTACTTTTCCCATTGAGTGACCATGATGCCTTGGAAAATTGATAAGCATGCTATCAGTAACTCGATGATTGTATGCCTTTCTGTTGCTTTTAAAAAAAGGACTGGAGCACTATATTTTGTTTTGCTGCACGAGATGACAACAAATTTCAAATAAGCCCGCAGACACGCCTGCTGAAAATCGGTTCCCACTTCTCTCCCACCACTAGTACTCAAACAGCTCCTTCCTTCTAATTTTGCCCCACCCCTTGCCTCTGACTTCCCTTCTTCCCACATTCCTGATGCAGCTGGTGCTGGCAGAGGCTCCTCATGCTAAAGGCTGACTTGAGCAGAAATAAATGACCATGACTATGCTCTCTCCCCTCTCGCCAACAACCTCCACTACCGCTGCTTGTCTCAGCCCCAGGGATTGACTAGAGGGTTGCTGGTCCCTGGCTCTGGACATGCTTGAGTGCAGGAGCATACTCTGCTTGCAAAAGTGCCTGCATGCTGCTTGCTGCCAGGAATATTCCCTACTGTCATCATGGAAGCTAGGCAGTGGGAAGCAGAGAAGAATCTGACCCCCTGTTGTTTTCTCTTGCTACTGTGGAAGGTTGCTATTCTTGAGACTCTTTTCCATCTTGCTGCTGACACAGACATTCATTTTGGAAAGAGTGGGAAGAGACCCCAAGGGTCAACTACTCTTACCCATTGCAATTCAGGTACCACATAGAATCTCTGATAGATGGCCGTCCAATGTAATGAGGAGGCGTAGTTCAGACTAAACATACCCAACTACCACAACCGTTTCCCATAAAGTTTGGTTTCCAAACCATTGATCATCTTGGTCACCCTCCTTTGCATATGTTCCAGCTTGCCAATATCCTTCTTAAATTGTGGACACAGAATTCCAGGTGTGGTCTAACCAAGGCAGAATAGAGCAGTACTATGATTCCCCTCGATTGGGACACTATATTTCTGTTGATGCAGCTGAGAATAGCACCCACTTTTTTCGCTGCTGCATCACACTGTTGACTCATGTTCAACTTGTGGTCTACGTAAGACCCCAGCTCCTTTTCACATGTACTACTGGCTAGCCAGGTGTCCCACATCTTATATTTGTGTAGCTGGTTCATCCTGCCTAAGTGTTGTTGTTGGCATCTGTCTGTCTCAGGAGACAATGGAAGAGTGAGGGTGGGAACGGGGGATGGGAGAGAGAGACTGGGGTGGCAAATCTTAAGTTCTTTTATTTAGTGTATGCTTGGGGTTTTTCTGTCAGCGTCACTTGGGGAAGTTATCTTTCTATTTGCTTGTTATGTTTCCTTGGTGGTGAGAGGGGTTGGGGTGGCCTAGGGTGTGGTTGATTGTCTTTGGCTGGCTACAGTGGGATTTGTTTGTGCGTGGGTGAGGGGGGTTGTCGGGTTAAGTTAGCCATATTGAATCATATGTTGTCAGTGGGTTATGAGCTTTTTCTAGTGTGAGTGGGCATTGTTATCTTGGAAGATGTTCAGTAGGGCCAGTTCTGGGATGACGTCTAGTACCTGTTTAGTTATTTTGCTTATTTCTGGTTTGACTGTGCACACTCTTTTTTTGACTGGGTCCACGATTACTTGGTTTGGTGGGATCTGCTGGTTCAGACACAGCATATGTCTGAGAAGGCCCCACGAGGGATCATGGGGAGGAGGTGTGAGGAAAAAACTGTTGATTTCTTGGGCAACTTGGAAGGGCTGTGGTGGGATCCAGAAACGACAACCTTCAACTGCTCTCTTCTCCATCAGCTTGGGAGCTTTTTCTGAGACGCTTGCGGGGTATGATTGCATCCTTTGTTGTTTGAGCTTCTTTATCAAGATGTTAATAGATCCGCCTGCCTTTGATCAGTTGTGCTTCAAGGGAAGCTCACCAGTCCTCTGATTCTTTAATATTTTCCAGCCCAGATAGATGTTAACCAAAGGATCTCACAATAGTCATCTCCTTGCAGGAGCAAGAAAGCACAGGAGAATCAGATGCACCACAAGAGCATCTTGGATGGAATGGCTCTCAAAGAGGGCTAGACAATTGCATGGAGGAGAGGCCTATCAAAGGCAACTAGCCATGATGGCTATGCTCAGCCTCCCCTGTTGGAGGGAGCAATGCTTCTGAAAAACACTTGCTGGAAGCCAAAGACTCCCCAAATGTGTTTCACTAGGGCCCCTTCCTTCCCTCTGCCCCAGTACCTGAGGTTCGTCACGTCTCTCCAGGGATTTGACCAGAACAAAGTATATATTGGGAAAAGGCTCCATCCCTGCAAAGAATATGGAGGAAACAGCAGGCGCCTGGCTCCCAGCCATGCTAGCACCAGTCTGGCGCATGAGAGTGGGGGACACGGGAAGGAAGCATTCCTATAGTATAGGGCACTCAATTGGCATTTCCACCTACCTGAACTCTGAGCCTTTCCCACCTTGTTCTGGACTGCCTCTCTCCTAAGGAAGATGCAAGCTCTTGCTGCTGAAAGCCACTGCTGGGGAGTGTTCCTATGATTCCCAAATGTTTCAGAAGCATCTTTTTGTTCCTTTAGCTGCTTGATATAATCATAGCATGGCAGAGACAGAAGGGATCCCAAGGGTGATCTAGTCAAACCCCCAGCAATGCAAGGATCCTGCCCACAGCCAACCCTGGCTGGGCTCCGAACGCCAGCCTTCTGGTTACCATTGCAGTTCTCCATGGTGTGGAGAAAGGGGAGAGAGAAATGTGTTGCTTACACTCTCATAACACTGATATGAGATCCACACCATGCAGACCTTTCAATAAGTAAAGTCTAAAGGGCTGTCACATGGAGGATGGAGAAAGCTTGTTTTCTCCTGCTCCAGAGGCCCTTAGGGCCTGAAGCAGTGACTCTCCTTCCTTGGAGGTTTTTAATCAGCGCTTGGATGGCCATCGGCCATGGATCATCTAGTTGAGATTCCTGCATTGCAGGGGGTTGGACTAGATGACCCTCAGGGTCCCTTCCAACTCTACAATTCTATGATGCTATGTTTTAAAGAGCTTCCAATGCGCCTTTAAAGCACATTAAAAAGGTAAAGGTAAAGGGACCCCTGACCGTTAGTTCCAGTCGTGGCCGACTCTGGGGTTGCGGCGCTCATCTCGCTTTACTGGCTGAGGGACCCGGCGTACAGCTTCCGAGTCATGTGGCCAGCATGACTAAGCAGCTTCTGGCAAACCAGACCACAGTACCACCCGCGTCCCCTTAAAGCACATTACTTCTTCCGAAATGATTTGTGCCATTGTTGCTTCCCTCTCACAGACCCACAATCCCCAGAACCCCTAACAGACTACAATTCCCAGGATCATTTGGGGGAAGACACCCGGTTTTTAGAACAGGGATGGAGAATCTGCAGTTTGCTCATCCCCATTTCCTGGGAACCAGGAATGGGAAGCTCAAGCGCTTCTAACGGTATGATTATAGGGAGCAGCGTGAATAAAATATTGTAATAGGGTTATTAAGGTAACTGTATCAGAATTATTATGGGAATGTTAAGGAGGGAGGGGAAAAGAGAGATTGTGGAATTCTGGTGGTGAGTGATGATTGGATGAGGATTTGAAAGGGAGTTTAAATGTGAGGCAGTTGAGAGCAGTGGGTTATGGAGGGGGTGGTTGGGCAACTAACTATTCAGTTTAGGATCAGTAGTCTAGTCGTCATTTTTGTAATAAAGT